GTGATTGTGTGAGAGAGCGAGGGAGGGAGGGCAGAGGGGACAAGAAAGTGGTTGAACGAAGCGAGCCATGCACAGCCTGCCTGCACGGCCTTCACAGCCTGCAAGGCCTTCACAGCCTGCATGGCCTTCACAGCCTGCACGGCCTTTGAGAATGATCAAGAGTCAAACCAACGGCCTGCACGCCATGCCATGCACGGCCTTCGGATCCAAGCAAGCGAAGCTTTGCGTATTCACCTGGGCGAATTTCACTTTGCTCCCTTTCAAAGGAGGGTAGAAGTTGGGGTAGTCACGACGATCGGCGCAGACAAAGGAGAGATTGAAGAAGCGAGCGTTGGCAGCAGAGAGCAGCGGGAGCTGCGGTGAGATTCAGTGCAATGAGGTATTCACCTGAGCGAACTTGACTCTGCTCCCCTTGAGCGGAGGGTAGAAGTTGGGGTAGTCGCGGCGATCGGCGCACACAAAGGAGAGGTTGAAGAATCGAGCGTTAGCAGCGGAGAGAAGGCGGAACCTGTGGAGTGCGGGACGGACCTTGAGATAGGGCCAGACCTGTAGAGGAGAGGAGGAGAAACAAAGAGCATGAGAGCAGGGACGAGAAGGAGGTTAAGCGAGCGTTGGCAGCAGAGAGCAGGCGGAACCTGTGCAGTGCGGGATGGACCTTGAGATAGGGCCAGAGCTGTAGTGGAGAGGAGGAGAAATAGAGGAGGAGAAATAGAGAACATACGAGCAGAGACGAGAAAGAGGGTTAAGAGAGCGTTGGCAGCAGAGAGCAGGCGGAACCTGTGCAATGCTGGGCGCACCTTGAGGTATGGCCAGACCTGGGAGGGAGAGGGAGAGATAAGGGAAGGAATGGAGGGCCAGGAGGGAAGGGAAGGAGGGAGGAGGGGAAGGGGGGGGGAATGGGCGGAGTGAGGGGGAGTGGGGGGGAGGTGCTCCAGCACTTCTCTTCTGGGGAATTACAGCGATTCGTTCGCTCTCACGAGCTCCCGTACTGGGATGCACATCAGGCACCACCCCTCTCCTCGGGTAGTGAACGCATTTATCCTATAACATACTCGTTATATGCTGTTCATAACTCTTACCAGGCCGTTAACCACGATGGTGTTGCCGTAGTACCCATCCACCCAGCTGGGATGCACATCAGGCACCACCCCTCTCCGCGGGTAATACAGCGACCCATATGCTATAACAACACGCTCCTGTACTCCTTACAAGCACACTCGTTATAGCTCTTACCAGCCCGTTAATAACAATGGTGTTGCCATAAAACCCATCCACCCAGCTGGGATGCACATCAGGCACCACCCCTCTCCTCGGGTAGAACAGCGATCCATTTGCTGTGAACGTACGATCAGCCAGGATGAGAGGAATGCTGCAATCCCCCTTGGGAATCCAACTCCCCACTCCCGCCCCCGACACCTTCCCTCCACTTCCTCCCCCCTTCCCATCCACTCCTCCTCCCGCTCCCCACCCGCCTCCCTCCCCGCTGCCCGTTTTTCCGCTTCGCCACTTCCCCTCGGCCCCGTCAGGATCCGTTACAACGTACAGGCCTGCCATCCCCGCTATAAGGTTCAGCCTCCCCATGCCTTGGGTGTGGTCCCGATACCAGAGCAGCGCAGCAGAGTGCTGGTTCAGATACTTGTACGTTTGCGAGTAGTATGCATGCTCTTGAGGCGCCTCAGGTCCCCCGGAAGAGGGAGAGGAGGAGGAGAAAGGAGAGGATTGGGAGGAGGAGAGAGGAGAGGAGCGAGAGGAACGGGTGGAAGAGCGGGAGGACAGGGCGGGGCCGATTTCGCCGTACTGTGTGAACCATGCCTGGGGGTGGCCGGAATAGGAGCTGTGTGCGTGGCCTCCCTGCCTGAAGGGCACTGCAGGGAGAGGGAGGGGGGCAAGGGCGAGACGGAGAAGATAGGGATTTGGGAGTGACTTTTGAGTCGACTCAGAGGTGCAGGACTGAGTTCGCCGTACTGTGTGAACCACGCCTAAGGATAGCCGGAGTAGAAGCTGTGTGCGTGGCCTCCTTGCCTGAACGGCACTGCAGGGAGAGAGAGTGGGGGCATGGGCGAGATGGAAAAGGTAGAGACTTGGGGGAAGGGGGGACAGGGCGGGTCCTAGCCCGAATAGGCGCTGTGTGCGTGACCGCCTCGCCGAATCACGAACGTTTATACGAAGCGCCACTCACCAAAGGGAATGACTTTTGAGGCGCCTCAAAAGTGACCGCCTCGCTTAAAAACGAATGTTTGTACGAAGCGCCACTCACCAAAGGGAATGCCGCCGCGGGACGGTCTAGGGACGTCTTTATTGATAGTGTAGTCGACTTGCAACATGTGCTTCTCGTCCGTTAGATGGTTCTCCCATCGGATCTGCCACACATGAGAAGCACATCTCAGGGCGGAATGTACCCATTTTGAGACGTCTCAGAACGAGGAACAAGTGCTACACCATTCCTTAGTTAAAAAACATTACTCTGCACCATTCGCCCAGGGCCCCATCTCGTACCTTGGTCATAACGCCCTTCCTCGCCACTATAGTAGGCCCTGGATACGACGCGCGCGCGCGGCTCGTCCCAAACGCGTACAGCTTCGTGGGCGGCAGATCGCGGTGGAACTTCTGTCGGATCTGATACACTCCGATTCGCAGAATCTTCCCGCTCGTGCCGTCCACGAGCTCCATTCTGCCGCCCGTCGCGCCGCCCGTGCCGGCCGCGCGAAGGCTGTCGACGAACTTGCAGAGCGGGCGGGACGGAAAGCGGTTGACGCATCGCGGTCCCGCTGTCGGAGTGCCGCCGGTTACCTGGTTACCAGCCTTCGACGATCCGGATTTTGACGGTCCAGGTTTTGACGGCCCAGATTTCAACGGTCCGGATTCAGACGACCCGGATTTCGACGGTCCGGATTTAGATGAGCCAGATTTCGACGGTCCGGATTTTGACGAGCCGGCGGATTTGGGCGGGTTGGAAAGGAGGTCTGGCGTGCCGTAGTAGATGGGGCTGGGCTTGGAAGCGCCGCTGTGCTTTGGTATCAGTGGGAGAGTAGAGGCTGCAGTGAGTGGAGATGGGAGGGAAAGGGAAAAGGGAGAGGGATTGAGGAATGAGACAGGAAGTATGGGGCTTGGAAGAAGGCTGGGTAGTAGATGGGCCCATGCTTGGAAGGACCCCTGTTCTTGGGTGTGAGCGGGACAGTGGCGAATGCAGTCAGGGGAGAGGGAAGGAGTGGGGAGAGGGGGATGAGGGATGAGGCAGGGATGCGGGGAGCAAGGAAGAAGGCTGGGTAGGAAGGGGCTGGGCGTGGAAGGGGCTGGGCGTGGAAGGGGCAACGGGCAGTGTGGTACGGAAGGTTATTAGAAGCAAAGGGGGAAGCGGAAGGAGGGAGGGGGCGGGGGAAGAGGAAAAGAGGGAGAAGGTTGGGTGGTGCTGGTTATATATAGGGTGATAACCTGAAGGTATGATGCGACGGGCATTATCCGTGGTGATTGCGCGGCGTCGGTAGATTAGCCGGCGTCGTGATTCGAGGCGTGTCGGCAAATTTTCGAGACGCCTAGAGCATTGTATCGGCACGGTAAGACAGGCACTTCCCGTGGTGATTACTGCTTGGAATTGCGATTCGAGGCTTGATCATACGAAGCATGAGACGAGATGAGACGAGCGGGAGCGCTCCCGCTTTCTCGTAGAATGCATTCCTATAATGGACGTTTGAGTCGACTCAGAAGTGAGCGCAAGTAGAATGCTTTCTTAAGCTCTCAAGGACAAAAATACGGTACGATTCGCCTTAAAACTGCAAATGCGAGGGCGGAGAACTGAAGAGAATCCGCATTTGCACTTCGATTGACATAGTACCCCTCAGCTAATGCGCGGTGCTAGCGACAAGCAGCCACTGTGCGATTATCATGTACGTGCTTCCCTGATGCAAAAACGCATTCAGGCGCTTCAAGGCCGTCCGATGCGGCACTGCTACCAACTGGTTAACAACCGGGTATTAACGCGACTTGCTTGAGTCTGCCTACCTGATTCGACCTCCCCTTCCCCACGTGCGGCGATGATGAGGAGCACGCATGTGCAAAGCGCGACTCGAATCGAGAGCCTATCTGCCGTCATTGGTGCGTCTGGTCCAAAATGTGTACAGTCAGTAAGTCGAAGTAAGGGTAAGGTAAAGAAACCAGGAGGAGATTTTCTATATGTATGTACACTGGAAGGCTCTACGTACTAAAGTGTCGACGGCGATTGAAAATGGTGTCTCAGCCGGCGCGCCGATTGTCTCTAGCTACGTCTTAGTCATAAACTCGCTGCGTGGGCTTCGTCGGCACTACCGTCAACGAAGTACGCCGTAAACAAATGCCGACCATTACTAGTCGCGATCGTTTCTAATGAAAAGTGAGGCGATACACAGCCACGACAAAAGCGCGTGCTAGAGATGGCGCGACGTGTGGTGCAAAAAGGACACCCGCCAGCAGGGGCCAAGGACCGATTTTCGCCGTCAATCAAGGAGCCAAGTTGGGGTCAAAGTGGGAAGGGTGGCTCCTCGTTTGCTTTCAATAGGACAGCATTGCACGGCACGGCACGGCACCATTGTAGTCGAGTCGAGAGACTTGAGAAGAGCCGAAGGCAGTGAGTAAACAGACTTGCTGGTGGGCGGACGTGTGTAGTTTATCTGACAGAAGCTGGGGGCGGAATTTGAAATGTGATGGACTGGACAGAAATTCGAAAAAATTCCCGCCAATTCGACACTTGAACCGAATGCGGCCCGCCGATGCGATTCGTGCACGACATTTCAAACGTGAACAGAATTGTAATAGCATAGTGTATTGTAATATACACGAAGGCACTACATAAAAGGGTGATGGCTGTGTTGCAGCCACAAGCACAGCCTTTAACCTACATTATTGTAAGTGAGCTCATTATTCCACTGAATATACTAAGCATAATATCTACAGTCCCATTTTGAACCCCATGATATATACCTGGGGCCGTTGTTGCATCACGACATATTGAGCTCCATGGAGCTATATTATTGCGAACCTTGTTGCGCTTTCAGCACCGCATCACGGAGTACAGCAATGGCAGCGGCCGGGTCGGAAGCACCGAACACGGAGCTTCCAGCGACAATGCAATTGGCCCCAGCTTCTGCTGCTTGAGCAATCGTCGATGGACCCAACCCGCCATCCACCTGCACAAAGGAACAGTAAAAACGGGGGAAAGAAAGAAAGAAAAGAAACAAACAAAGGGCGCGAGCATGCGACTGCTCCCATATTTGTCATATCTGGAAAACTCGAATGCAGAAACTGCAAAAAAAGTTATGTCCTGGAACATTCCCCTCTTCACCTGAATGTTCAAGTCTGGAAATTTAAATCGTAGAAATTGCACTTAGGGCATCATGTCAGGCATGAACGCCTGGTGAGTAAGCACAGAAATAACAACCCTTTTCTCACCTGAATATCCAAGTCTGGATATTGAGATCCCAGAAAGTGCACTTTGGGCATCATGTCACGCCTGGTTGTATACAAAGGCACACAATCAGGCCTCTGGATAGGATTTGGGGTACTCTTCCTCGTAAGGCCAACACCCAGCTGTTACTCTTTCAGTAAGGGTGCTTCACAGGAACTGCTCTTAAAAATCAGGGTGCAAACAAATTAAAGAAACTGTCGAATAATTTTGTTGAGCATACTATGTAGGGTGTTAGTGTTGCAGTGTGTTGAGTCATCGTTGTTATGTGGAGGACCCAAGTTCGATACCTGTCGGGGTCATCCGCCGTAGGAAATGTGTTTTACGCGACCAATCCTGGTATCCTCTCTTAGATCGAACTCGATTTCATCAGTGCTACTACACCACATAGCTCTGAAATATCAGTGTCATACAATCGATCACTTTTTTTGGTAAGGGTCGAAAACAAAACCAGTCTTGTAAAAAAGGGTGCATCGTAAAACCCGCCCTTATAGTAAGGGTCATAAGGGTGAATCACCCTGATATCGAGAGGCCAGCACACAATCCTTTTTTCACCTGAACATCCCAAGCACAGAATTACCAACCCTTGTCTCACCTGAATATCCAAGTTTGGAAATCGTGAGCGCAGGAACTGCACTTTGGGCATCATGTCAGGCATAAACGCCTGCCCTCCAAACCCCGGCTCCACGGTCATCACCAGCACCACATCCACCGCCTCCTGCCCCTCCAACTGCAGATACGGGCGGTCATGAGGGGTGGGGTTGACAGAACAATTAGGGATGATTATGGTAGTAATGATAAACAGACTTGCCCTCCAAAACCCGGCTCCACCGTCATCACCAGCACCACAGCCACCGCCTCCTGCCCCTCCAACTGTCATTCATGAGGGATGATCATGGGCGGTGGGGATGACAGAATGGTCGTCGGAGGGGAAGTGGGGAATAACTGAGACGCCTGCCCTCCGAAGCCCGGCTCCACCGTCATCACCAACACCACATTCACTGCCTCCTGCCCCTCCAACTGCCAACAGACAGACCAGGAGGGGTGAGCATGAGGTGTGGGGATGACAGAATGGTAAGGGATGGAGTGATGGGGCATGAGCGATAGTCCAACCTCGTCACCAGCACCACATTCATCGCCTCCTGGCCCAGAACTGCCATGAGGAGTCGATGATAGTGCGAGAACGGACCGAGGAATTCGGCATAGAAGTTACAAACAGACCGCTGATTACGCTTGCAAGAAATGTACCAAGCGGCGGATTGTGAGGCGACAACCATACAACGTACGAGGGGCAGGACTGATTCAACAGGCGTTGAAGGTTTGATGGCCACGCCCGCGCTCATGCCCGCTGCATGCACCTCTTGAGTCGACTCACAGGCAGTCTTCGAGGCACTTGTCACGAAACATACAACGGCCGGCTTTTGAGGCATGTGGAGGAGAGGCAACGTACGAGGGGCAGGACTGATTCGACAGGTGTTGAAGGCTTGATGGCCACCCCCGCCCTCATGCCCGCTGCATGCACCTCGGCCACCAACTGCTGTGCCCTGCCTGGGGTAGGGAGGGGGGTGGGTGGAGAGGAGAGGGGAGGACAGAGAGGGAAGGAATGAGTCACCAAGCAATGAAAGTTTGATGGCCACCCGCGCCCTCATGCCCGCTGCATGCACCTCAGCCACCAACTGCTGTGCCCTGCCTGCGGTACAAGGGAAGGAGAAAGGACGAGAGGGAAGTGGGAGCGGAGTATGATAGGATGTGAAACAAAAAAAGGGAAATCCGAGAGAATGGAAAAGTCGGCTCCCCCGTTCTCAAATATAAGAAAAGAAAATAAAAAAAGGCCATGCTTATGCCCACAAGCCGACGCCCTCAAATGACTATGTCTACAACCTTGACAATTGGCATGCTGACATGGCATGATGACCTGGCACAGCCTCCACGTGGAAGGTGAAGGAGGAAGCCCCTGCCTGCTTCATAGGCTCCACGTAGGCGAAGGGGTCCGTGACCATGAGGTGGCAGTCCAGGTAGGCACTGCAAACCCACAAAAAGACAAAGGGAGAAAGATGAGAGAGGGGAAGGATGCAGAGGCCACAGGTTGTTTAGCTGGTTGAACACTCCACGTAGGCGAAGGGGCGTGTCACCATGAGGTGGCAGTCCAGGTAGGCTCTGCACAGATTGAGGGAGAAAGAGGAGAGAGGAGAGGGGAAAGAGGAGGGAAGGAAAGGGTGTGAAGGCAAAGGCATCTGTCCGTGACCATGAGGTGGCAGTCCAGGTAGGCACTGCACCGCCACACAGAAACATGGCGAGAGAGAGGAAAAGGGGGGAGGGGGAAGGGGGGAGACCAAGCTTGGGAAAGAAGAGAGCGAGCGGTGTGAGGGACCCAGCATCACGTGTTGCATGCAGATGGACAGGGAGGCTGTGTGCAGACAAAGCTATCCAGACGAATATGAAAATGTCTGAGTAATTCCTTTGAATTGCCTCAGAAAAGGTATTTAGTAATTAATTCTGAGGCGGGGCTTACTCGGTGTGTTTTCGAAGAGCAGAGATGACTGGAGGACCGATGGTGAGGTTAGGCACGAAGTTGCTGGGAAGGTGGGGGGGAAAAAGGGGGAAAAGTTAGTGAGGAGGAGGATAGAGAGGATGGTGGGGGGAAGCGTGGAAAGAGCGTAGATGGGAAGAGGCGGAGCGGGAACAAGGTTGATGAGACAGGCAAGGCAAAGTTGAGGATCAAGTTGAGGGAAGTCGAGGGATATATGAGATTGGCAAGAGAGGCAGGGGAAAAAGGACGAGGTCATAGGTTGATGAGAGAGGGATTGGAGGCGAGGAGGAGAGAGATGGAGAAAGACGAGGAGAGGGGAGGCGAGGGAGAGAGGAGAGGTCAGCATACGGAGAAATGAAAGCATGAGTAACAGGGAATAGAAAAAGATGAAGTTGATGGTGACTGAATGACGAAGATTCGCTTGTTGTGATGTGTGCAGGTAAGTGGTGTGTGCGAGTCCTGAGAGAGCAGTGAGTGCTTCAGTTGAACCAGGTGTCTTGTGAGACCCTACCCGTCCTGCAAGAAATGCACATGGATGGCATGTAGGAAAAGTACATGCGATGACAGAAACAAACATGCCATGGGAGTGAAAAGCGTGCACACACATTCAGGCCCACAAAAGCACACACAGCGTTGACTGCGTTGACAGCGGAACAGATAGCAAGGCAGGGAGAGGGCCGTGAAAGGCAAAAGAGAGACAGAAAGTAGTGACAAAGGTTAAACGTGAGAGAGCGGGAACAGACAAGCGAATAAGATTCAAGTGAATCGACTCATTAGTACACGTCGCGCGCTTGATCAGCGGTCAGATTCTGGCCAAATAATGTATTTCTGACAAGTATGGATTTACCATGATATCCATGTGTAACCAATCAGCGCCGCACGAAAGCATCCGCTGAGCCTCGCTCGCGAGATTCGCGAAGTCTGACGAAAGCATGGACGGCGCGATCTTCGGCGAAGGCGCCATCTCGGGCGTCCTTTTTTCTGAACAGTTTCGAAATTCGCGAGGCGCGCGGGTAACACAGCTTCCCTACTCCACCAAGCACACTAACCGAATTTCGCGCCTACGAACAAAGCTCCCAAACAGGTCACTCGTGCTAGTTTCAGCACGACTGGTGCGGTAAGGAGCGGCCGTCTAGTTTCAGCTACATGCAAGACTGGGCACTAGTCTTCTAGTCCTTCGGCGAGACGCTTTGCTGTTGACTGCTTCGGCGGCAATATCGAGAACGGCCGAGTACGGTTTTGAGCCCAACTTCGGGTGTGCTGGTTTTCTAATCAGGAAAAATAAGTCGTAATGTAAGTTGTCAAATCCCCTATATAATGCTAATTAGTTAATAAGCATCCCCGCAGTACTTGGTAGAAACGTTTACGTAAAAAAAAAGTTCAAAATTCAGCAGTCAGATATGCTGACACCTCACATGAGATGCTACAACAGCAAGAAACCCAAACCAAATAGACCAATCGAAGCAGCAGCAACCACATTCAGCACGACTGAATAAGCACCGCTCTTAGGTGGAGGAGGGGCAGGGGGAGGCGTGCTGGTTGTGCTGCCACCAGGAGCAGTGCAAGTGGGGGGAATGGAAGCAGCAGCGTCGCATGGGCTTGTCGTGGCGAGTGCTGGCTCTTCGAAGCATTTTGTCTAAGGGAGGGGGAGAGGAAGATGGGGGGGGGGGGGGGGGGGGGGGGGGGGGGGGAAGAGAGGAGTAAGGAGTGCAGAGAAAGGCGCAGGAGGTTGAAAGAAGGGTGAAGGAGGAGGGGGGAGGACGGGGGAGGAGGAAAAATGAGAAAAAAGTGGGGCAGCGAAACTTCAAATAGGGGGGGGGGGCAAGTTTGTATTGGAAATAAATGATGCTTATCCCACCCATTACACTTTTCTACCATCAATCCACCCACCCATTACACTGTTCTACCATCATCCCACTCATGCTGTTGCTGAAAGTGACGTTGAAATTTAGCACTCCAGCCAGCTTGACAGTGCAGGAAAGCACTGTCACTCATTAATCCACCCCTGCTATTCTCATCCATCCCACTCACGCTCCCACTCATCCTACTCACGCTGTTGCTGACAGTGACATTGAGGTTGGGCACGCCAGCCAGCCTGACAGTGCAGCGCAGCACTGTCACTCCTTACTCCGCCCCTGCTACTCTTATCCCACTCCCTCACATTGCCATTGTGCTATTTCTCATCTCATCCCACTCATCTCATCCCACTCACACTCCCACTCATCCCACTCACGCTGTTGCTGACAGTGACGTTAAGGTTCGGCACGCCAGCCAGCTTGACAGTGTTCACAATAACTACGTCGATGAATGCCTGTGCATCCGCTATCAGGTCGCTCAGCACATACGAGCCCACTGGAGGGAAGGCAGGGGAAGGGCCAGGTGAAGAGTGGTGAAGGACGGTGAAGGGCGGAGCTTGAGGGAAGGTTGCTCGAGACAGTGTTCACAATAACCGTGTCAATGAATGCTTGCGCATCAGCTATCAGGTCGCTCAGCACATACGAGCCCACTGCAGGGGAGGGCAAGCAGGGGAAAAAGGGGAGATGTGCAGAGAAGTGGTGAAGAGTGGTGAAGAGGGAAGGTCAGAGTTGAATAACCATGTTGATGAATCCTTGCACGTCCGCTATCAGGTCGCTCAACACATACGAGCCCATTGCAAGCAACAAAAGAAGGCAACGGAAGGCAACAGCCAGGTGAAGAGCGGTTCAGAGGGGTGTACCAACACAAGGGCAGGTGCTACGAATTTGCTTGCTACTCACGGCTAATGCCCTTGCATGCACCGAAGATGCTGTCAGGAAAACTCGGGCGTGTTTGAGTCATCTGGTCTCAGAATATGATGGCAGGAGGAGCTATGGAGTTGCCTGTAACTCACGTTTGATGCCCTTGCAGGCACTGAAGATGCGGTCAGCGAATTTCGGGCAGATTAACATGACTGACGTGCCGTCCTTGGTGTTGTTCACATAGCTGCCCGAATCTGCCACGTCAGCAGTACCAAGGGAAGAAGAAAATAAGGTATGTGAGCGGGCAGATAAACTTGAATAGTTACAGCGCTAGCCTCTTGCCTGAAATTTTGTCTGGCAAAAGCAGCCCTGTGTTTGTCTGCGTTCGAGCGCGAGTCTGAGTAATGTTATAATTGTAAGAAAAGGTGTGATGTCATGTGTCGGTCAGCCCGATCATAGTGCCGAGGTACTTTCTCCCAAGAAAAAATAACGTTGAAAATCTGACTTCTGATCAGGGCATACGTTCTCCCCCCCAAAGTATGTACTTTTGTAAAACTGACTTTTGGTTGTAACAAGAAAGTGTAGACGCGACTTCGCACTCACCGGGGTTGCAATTGGCGCCACACACGATCGCCTCGACGAGAAAGGGGCACTCCGGTTGGCCAACGAACAAGTCGCACACCTGTAACAATCACGCACCGGGAACAAGGGTAGGGAGAACAGAAGTTCGGGCAGGGAGAACAGGGCAAGGGAAAACGAAGGAGAAAATGGGCACGGGGCGCATGGGGAATAGAAACCAGCCCTAAACCCCGCGGGGCCTGAGGAAAAGTAACTTGAAAAACAAGGGGGATTGGAAATTAGAGTGAAGGCGCGATATGCTGCTGAAGGGAGGTGGTGACCAAGTGGGTGTTTGAGGAAATTTCACGCCCTGCGCGGTAATTAGGAGAGAGGAAGCACGATCGTCGCACGTTGGGGGTACGTGGGAGAACGCGTGTCGTAAGACGGGTTTCCGTGTCTGCGCGCGGCGCGCGTCCTCGCACCGCGCAGCACCTGGGACACCTCGGGGAACGAAACAAACGAGGTCAACGCGAGGTCAACGAGGGCCGTACCTTAACGCTCGGCTCGACGAGGCCTCCGAGTGAGGGACTGATATTCGTGAGCACGGCGGAAAGGTTTGCGCTGGTCATCATTTGCGCGGCCGACACGTCCGCGCAGTCCGCGCAGCACGACGCGGTCGCCGCCACGGGGCAGCGGACCGACGGAGTCTTCCGCGCAGTCGGCGGAAGCTTCGTTACTGGACACACATTCGCAGTCGCGCCGCTAGGGGAGGCCGGCGCCGCGGGTGGAGTCGCGGCGACGGAACAAGTTACCAGTGTAACAAGGAGATGAGAGGACAGCACGGCCGCTGCGAGCAGCGCGTGCTGCGGGAATAGCGGCGCCATGATACGCGGGAAACTAGTGCGACGAAGCGACGACACGGCGACGACGGACGGGGCGTGCGTGCTTCCGGCGACGGCGTAGAGTGTGCGAGTAGTACGGTTCCCCGACAATTGCTGCGCGAGAAATGCTCTCGCTTCGCACCGATGTTCCGTAATGCAGCACGACAATGGCGGTCAAGCGAAACGCGTTAACGCGTAAAAGCTGTCTTCAACCGCTGAAGAGTTGCAAAAGGAAAGGAAGAAGAAAGAAATACGGCGAAACACCTCAGCGCCACCAGAAGAAAGCCGTCTACAGTAATAAGAAGACTGCTTGCGCCACCCAAGGTTACCTAGTCGCGTCGTCAATATACTATAGCGGCAACAACCAGGCTGGAACTAGGCGCAAGTGCGCCCACGACAGTGGGTGGGAGATACGGTGGCGATGCGAATTGAATTGATTTGAGTAGGGTTACTGTTCACACAGTTCGGCGGCACATTCTCCAGCGGACTTCGAATAGAAACGCGCCAAACCGAACCGACGTGTGACCCGTTGGGAATGGGAAGGGTGGAAGATCAGTCTGATCCAAACCGCGCGATTCCCTCGAGCCTCGTCCAATCAAGATGCAGGATGAATTGGACATGCACTTCCTCCGATACTAGCATTTCTACAAAGAAGAAATTCCTATAACCAGCGTACTGTTAAAAACAAATACAAGCCAAGCAAATAGTTCTTATACGTATGTATTGCTGTTTCATAACAAAATAATACCCAGGACACTCAACAAGCAAATCACGCTAATGGTGGCTGCATTATTGGCCAAAGAGATTGTGGACTTTTGCGGTACGTGTTCTATTGCAAGCATCGGGGACGGGGGAGGTGGTCCAACGGGCCCTCCAGATGGCGGCGGAGCTGGTGATTGGCCGGCCGGCGGGGAAGGGACAGGTGGCGCCGATGCCCCGGAAACGGAAGTGGGAGGAGGAGGAGGAGGAGAAGGGAGAGGAGGAAGTGGGGGAGGAGTCTTGCACACAGAATGATCGAGATCGCGGCCAATCAAATCACTGTATTGTGTCACGTTTACAGCGCCAGCAGGGCAGGTTTGGGGAATGGTGAATGGGTCGCAGCACGCAGTTACTGGAGCAAACACCTGAGAGCCACTGAAGCATGCTTCCTGCAGGATGGGAATTTGATGGCAGGTGGATGAATGGAAAGGTGTCAACTTTGAGATATATAAAGGAAATTAGAAAGGGGTTGGCTGGTGATGGAATAAGGAGTGTACTGAATGTACATGAACAACGAGATACGTTTTTATCGAGATTGATACAGTACTTTGAAATGTAAATGCGGCACTGTACCTTCTCTACAACGATGTTGAAGTTACTGTAGCCGATGGCCTTCATTACGCTGGCGGTGATGGCATTAAGGAAGGATTCTGAGGAGGTGATGAGAGTGCTCAGGGGGATGGCTCCGACTGCAACCAGGAGGAGGGGAAGAGGAGGGAAAAGGGGGGTGGAGAGAGGGTAGAGAGATAGTTGATGGCATCAAGGAAGGACTCTGAGGAGGTGATGAGAGTGCTCAGGGGGATGGCTCCGACTGCCATAAAGGAGGGGAAGGGTGGAAAGGGGGAGCGGTGAGAACACGGAGGAGGGGATGATAATGGTGAGATGATATTGATGAGATGCTAGCTGATGGTTTAGAAGCAACCTGATGTGTGGTCTCAGGCGTGATGGGGTGCAATCCATCTTGTCACTATGCAGGGCGCATTTGCCGCACTACAACAGGTGATCTTTGTACCGATCAAAGCCTGCAATTGACCGCACTGCACTCAACCACTGTGCACTCAACTGAACCTGCCCTGGCAGACGCTAAAGACGAAGTCAGCATAGGAAGCACCCAACTGGACTACCCTCAACTGTACTGCACTCAACAGCACTGCACTCAACCGCACTGCACTCAACTGGAAATGCCCTGGCAGACGCCAAAGAAGAACTCGGCGTAGGAAGAGCAGACGGACATTGTTGTGGCGTCCGCTGTTACCCGGGTGTAGTTACCCGCATCTGCACAGTAGGGAAACATACATTCCATACAGTCACATGAAATGGTCAGTGCGCAACGTTCGATATAGTCACATAGACAAAGGAAATGGCACATAGCTGAATTTTGCATCATGTCGCAGATAGTACAGGTCGTTGTTGAGAATTCTAAGAAACGTGGATGGTACAGCGAGTAGGAGCAGCAGGCCGGCAGCTAACCATTTTTGTACATGTCATCTATATACCATCTCACCTGGGTACCACGTCATCTCTGTACTAATTCACCTGAGTTACATGTCATCTCCGTGTCGTCTCACCTGGGTTACATGTGACGGCACATAGCAGATCTTCTATGGCTTGCTCACACATCTGACCACCTGTGAACATGTCACACATCTGGAGGGTGGAAAGGGAAACGCGCCAACACAGGAAACCTGATATCATAAGTTATGTTTAGTGATATGCTACACATGTGGAGGGTAGAAACGGAGATGCTATTACACTGGAAAGAGATGATAAGATATGATATGACAGGACTTGTAGTTGAATCAAAGAGACACACGTACCTTAAAGCCCGGGTCCACAAATCCCACCAGGCTCGGATCAATCAGAACCACAACATCCTCCAGGTTCGTCCCCACGAGCCTTAAAGCCAAACACACACGGGAGAGAAGCTCGTACCTTAAAGCCCGAGTCCACGAACCCCACAAGGCTCGGATCAATCAGCACCACAACGTCCTCCAGGTTCGTTCCCACAAGCCTTAAAGCCGAGCTTAAGTCGCTGCAGTCAGCACAGCACGTCTTATTCGCAGCAGCAGGGCAGCGAGTCGGCACCCTCTTAGGGACTGTCGGAGGTTTGCCGGTGAACGGACATGCAGGGTAGACGACAGGTCCGGAAGGGGCCGGCGCAGGCTCGGGCGGGAGGCCCGGGGAAGGCTCGGAGGACGGGGCAGGTTCGGAGGCAGGGGCGGGAAGGGTGCCGAGCATGCATGCGTCAGGATCGGTGATTCTTGGGAGGGGGGAAAGAGAGGAGGCGGAGGAGGTGGTGGAGCGAGAGGAGAGGGAGGAGGAGTAGGAGGAGTTGATGGAGTTGGGAGGGCATGTGGGGGGGATGGTGAGTGGGTCGCAGCAGGCAGTGTAGCGGGGGTAGATACCAGTGCCGTTGAAACAGGATTCCTGCAAGAGACAAAGGGGGTTACAGTATGGGCAGACCCAGAACAAGAGAGAAAAGGCTTTGTTAGGAGCAGGGATTTGTGAGGAGAGATCGGGGGGAGGGGGGAGGAGGCGGAGGGAGAGCAGGCAAGGTGCAAAGAGGAGGACACTCACTGTATTGTCCAAAGTGATTGTGACGTTTAGCAGCACCCATGAGTGAGGAGTGAGTGATGCCAGGGGGGACACACTAGCTCTCAACCAGGGCGCTTCCTGAGAGTGCAGTGAGCAAACTCACAGTGTTGTCCACAGTAATGGTGACGTCAGCCGCGCCCATGAGTGACGTCACGCTCGCTGCCACTATGCTCATGAAGGAGGAGGGATCCGGTGCGACTCGGCTGAGGGACACCTCTCCCACTGACCCGGGTGGAGGGATGGAAGAGGAAGGGAACGGAAGGAATCGAATTGGGGGAGAGAGGAGCGAGCAGCAGAAGGGTTATGCTCATGAAGGAGGATGGGTCCGGTGCGACTCGGCTCAGGGATACCTCGCCCACTGGCAGGTTGTGGGTGGGATGTGGCAGGAGGGGAGGGAGAGGAAGGGAAAGAAGAGAAGGGGCACGGAAGGAGGGTGATGCTCCTGAAGGACGATGGGTCCGGGGCCACTCGGCTGAAGACACCTCCCCCACTGGCAGGTTGAGGAGATGGGGAGGCATGTGAGCGGCAAGGCAGCAGACAGGGTGACCACCGTGCCTGCTGCCATGGCCGCTCACATGCGCTGAAGGCCCCGCACTTGTAGCATGCAAGAGAGAACGTCAGAGTCAACGCAAGTCAAGCAGGTCACTCACAGTCAATGCCCTGGCAGCCGTCCATCACCGCCTGTGCAAACGCCTCACACACGAGGCAAGTCAACTGAAAGTCAATGCAGGTCAAGGAAGTCACTCACGGTCAATGCCCTGGCAGCCTTCCATCACCGCCTGTGCGAACGCCTCACACACGCTGATCACCGTGCCTGCAGCCGTGGCGCTCACATACGCACTCGCATCTGCTCATGTACGCATAGGGAAGGCGATTGGGTGGTTGAAAGGAGGAGACTTTTGGGTTGACTCAAAGTCGCCTCACACACGCTGATCACCGTGCCGGTAGCAGTGGCGCTTACATACGCACTCGCATCTGGTGACGCACAGAAAAGCAGTGGGGTGGACGCACGGGAATATCTGAGTCTACTCAGAGTCGCCTCACACACGCTGATCACCGTGCCTGCAGCCGTGGCGCTCACATACGCGCGCGCATCTGCTCGTGGGGGGACGCACAGCAAGCCAGTGGAGTGGTGGAAGCGCGGGGATATATGAGTCTACTCATGGTCGCCTCACACACGCTGATTGACGTGCGTGCTGCAGTGGCGCTCACATATGCGCCCGCATCTGCTCATGGGAGCGCATGGTTGTGTGGGAGAGACAGGGAGGGTAAAAAGCTAATGCTCTGTTAGTCGATGCTCTATTAGTCGACTGACAAATGACATGTGAACACGCACAGCAGAGGTATGCAAACACGCACTGGCATCCGGTTATGTGCGCACAGCAAGACAAAGACGTGGAAGAAACAGGGGAAGAACAAGTTGACTTTTGAGTTGACACTCTGTAACCCACCTGGGCTGCACAGCATCGGGTTACCACCTGGGCTGCTAAGCATCGGGTTACCACATCAAGCAAATATTCCTTCATCCCCAAGTGCTGTCGAAAAGCCTCTTTCATCTGAAAGGCTACCCAGCACTATTTCACTCCACACACGCAAGCCCTCTCTCGCAGACTGACACACGGTACCAAGTAGAATCCCAGCTCATAGGTCGGACGTTTGAGTCGACTCAAAATGCAACTTGAATACCAAGTCGAACCAACCATATGGGTGGGTAGGCTAGGAATCACCTGGGTTGCACGTGAGCGCGCAGGTAAGGTCCCCCGGCAGGTTCAGAGAACCCCCCTTGCTCAACGACTCGCGCACCTTCCCACGCACGTGCATGTCACCTCTATTTCTCACTCATGCGTTTGAACCCACCCGGGTTGCACGTGAGCGCGCAGGTAAGGTCCTCCAGCGTCAGCAGGCGGCCTTTCTCTCTCTCACCGACTCACACACCTTACCATGAACATACCACCACTCTGAACCCACCTGGGTTGCACGTGAGCGCGCAGGTAAGATCCTCAAGCAACTGCAGGCACGTGGTCTGCCCGATAAACGCGTCGCACGCCTGGTAGACAGAACAGTGGTCGAGAGGGGTGGGACGGGGTGAAAGGGGGTGAGGGAGGGGTTGAGTGAGGGGATTTTAGCAGCTGCAGGCACTTTGTCTGGCCGATAAACGCGTCGCACGCCTGGCGCGGGGAGAGTGAAGGGATTTGAGAGGGGTAAGAGGGGGTGACAGCGGGTGAGAGGTTGACAGGTAATCGTGGGGATGGTGGAGTTGAGGCACTCGGTCTGCCCGATGAACGCGTCGCGCGCCCGGCGAACGGAGGTGGAAAGAAGGGAAAAGAGTCGCGGAGGGGTGGGAGGGAGACAGGGGGGAAGGGGAGAGTGTTTTCAAGGGGTGAACGGTGGTGTGACGCGATGAGAGACGGTGAGAGGGGGGGGTGATCGGGGAAACGGTGGGTGGGAGATATGCGCTTCTAGCGCCAGAATGACAACCACAGTATGCACATTATGTACATTAAGTTGCCATATATACAGTTGGTTCGTGTTTCAGGATGCGAGGGAACCTTCCCATTGGGATGCACGAAGCTCAACGCCTCGGGACTGACGAGCGACACCAGGTCGCAGAAACTTCGAATGCTGGCCGGCATGATTACCAAGCTACAGTAATGTACAGTAGTATGCTAGATATACAGTAACATTTATTAGAAAATTGACGAACCTTAGCGTTGGGTTGCACGAAGCTCAGCGCTTCGGGACTGACGAGCGACACCAGGTCGCCCAAACTCGCACTGGCAAGGCCAAGCGCGGCGTTGAGATCCGCGCAAGCCCCGCAGCACGACTGCGCGGATGCCGCCGGACACCGCGTTGACGCAATGGCAGTCGCGGAAGGCGCAAGGCCCGTGTGCGGACAAACTTGAGAGAGCGCGGGCGGAAGTGGGGAAACGGTGGGCTTGGCTAGGGCGGTAACTTGAGGGGGGATGATAAGCGCGGGCTGCGCGGAGGCGGTAGGAACGTGAATTACGGCGAGGAAAGAGATAAGTAGCGCGGCTCGAGAAATAAGTGCGGCTCGGATGCCTGGTTTAACTGGGGAGATCAGTGCGTCGCCGAAGACTAGCCGTAGTGCGACACTCGAGAGCAGCTTTCGAGAAGGCATTTTTGCGATGAAGGCTACAGTCCAAATACAGTAAATTATGTAGCCTTATTGGATTGTGTCCGAGCTCACGAACTCCTACATTAAGAACAATATATTAAAAAATTCTAAACGCGACGATTGAGATCATCCGAGAGGGTCCCTGCTCACTGCCGTCCTAATCTCTCGATTAGATAAGGGCTGGGTGTTGGGAAATATGTGCTGTGCTTGGGGAAGAATATGGTCGGCTTGCTGTTCAGTGAAGGAACAAGTAGGATAGTGAAGGCTGACGGTTATGAAACTCCCTCCCTGCACTCGAGTCGAGATGGGCCTGCTCAAGAAGAGCTTGTCAGAATTGACTGGAATTGGCATCCCTCACAGGCGACACCGAAACCCTACTTTTCGTCTGTGGTTTGACGACGGAGTCTATTCGTCGAAAACTCAAACTCCCCCCCAAATTCCAGAACTACACTTCCAGCTCCAGCGAAGCTCAGTGGTTCGTAAGTCCCTGGCGTTTCGGGTTCACACCGAGTGTTTAGCGAGTATTGGGAACCATCCGAACCATGTCTAAACGGGATGACTAGGGCTTTCAAAACTCAAAACAAAAAGCGACTGAACCCGCTGGCGGCGGACACAATTCGGTTGTGCGACACCAAAAGTCATCTCGAGCCGCATTTGCAGAGTGCAAAGAAGCTGGCTGACGCGACTTGTTCCACTTCCCGCGATTCAGAATTTCTGCAAATTCTGGGTGCGAGGGTTGATTGGTGAACAAGTCCTTGACTGGACTACCAAGCAATGGAAGACTCGTTACAGAGCTTGTATAACATCAAGGGCACCAAATAGCGGCAACGTGTTACAGTCGGAAATGACTGTAAACTATACAGCAACAAGTAATTATTAAACAAATCAATATGGAATCCAAGGCAAACCAATATTTTCGGAAAACATGTTTTATGAGAACTAAATCATAAAAACTTAAATATTTTGCTCTCAATTAGTGCTCGTGTTGAAAACATACAGAGCCACCCTTTTTACTAACGAAACAATGCACTTGGGGAGATGCCTGTGCCAGGGTGGGTGCAGCATGGTGTCAGATAAACTGTCACGTGTGCAGTGATTCTGACCCGAGACGGCAATGCAGGCGATTCGTGCTCGCACCGACAATCCGTATTCCCTCACCCGTGGCGGCGAACCACAGCTTCCACTCCCCCTGACAAGTAGGGCTTATGCACCAATCACATGCCTGGATCGACTGGTTCTGAGCTCGCTTGATCTGCTGAAAATATCTCGCTAGGGCTGTTACCTGATTTCGTTGCTGGGCTCGCTAGCTGCAACGAGCAGCTCAACCCATCATGGAACAGAGGCGGCCGAGGCGCGACAGACTTCCGCTCCGCAGCGCATTCACATGACATTCGTGGCGCATTGGGCTGGGTCTCAGGGAGAGCACAAGGAAAGAGCTGAAGGTACAGACCGAGACCAAAAAGTCGGTGGCGCGGTTGATTGGAAATCCAAACGGTGTCGAGTTTGTGTTCGTAGCCAGCGAATGATCCATTTGTGGTTCGCGATTGTTGTCACAGATCTAGCACCAGACGGCCACTATTCCATTTGAACACGCCTGGCCTAACACTATACACAAAGCCGTCTGCACTCCACATTCAAGTTGCTCAAGATATAGGACCCTTCTAGCCTGCAAACATCTTCGTTCATCGTAAACTCGTCGGAACCCCAGCAGTCTCACCACATTGCTGCTCCTTGTGTCTGCCCTTCAATTCTCCCGTCCCTTCTCTTCGCGCGTTTCGGGAACTAGTAGATCGGCTCGCACAGCAGAAACTGGAAAAAGCTGGACCCGTTGTAGGAACGAGATCGCAGGAAACCCGCGAGAGCACAGTTCGAACCGAAAGAGAGATCGACGATCAAAATGGTCACCACGTGGCAACATCGCCCGCAGTCAGTGCGGCACCGCCGCCACTCTGCTTCTCCGCATGGTCCAGTGTTGCTGCTTCTCCCTGTCCTCCTCCTTGCCCTCACATGCCTTGACCTTTCCTCCGCGCAAAGCGCGCCAAGTCCTTCCGCCAGCCCGTCTCCGCCTCCCCCCGCAACTCCGCCGTCCTGCCCATTCACCGGGTTACAGCCGTCCGCTCCTTCCGTCTCACCTTCCCGCTGCCCGGCCGCGGCGAATCTGTCCTGCTGCCCGGCGTGCAGCGATCTGAACGGCGCGCTACAGCTCGCGTCGGCGAACATGAGCGCGCTTGTAGCGGAGCTCAGCCCCGGCGCTACGGTTGACCCGAGCCTGGGCGTGTGCAAGGGCTTCGAGGGCCAGCAGCGGTGCCTGCAGCTGCTCGAGGATCTCAACTGCGCATCGAGTTGCAACTCAGGTGGGTCAAATGAAACTTGGTGAGTATCAGATTCGCGAAATAAAAGGAAGAAAGAAAGAAGCAATGTCTGAAATAGAAGTCAAGGATTCCAAGCGACGTGAACTGGTAGTATTACTAAGACCTAGTAAAACGAGGGATCGAGGAACGGTAATATTGGAAGATTTATAATGATAGTATTATCAATGAACTCATAACCACTAAGTAACGTCCCGCACTCGTCTCCGTGCGTCGCCCTGCTGTGCAGATTCGGGCGCGTACATAAGCGGAACGAGCATGCGCGTGTGCTCTGCCTTCGCCTCGACCCTCTTCGACGCGTGCAGTCCCGTGTGGAGTAAGTGCTGGTTTGCTTATGTTTCCAGATCATGTGAGAGATGCTTTATATTTCCTTCGAAAGGTGCGCAGCGCCGTAGGGATCAAGTGTTTGTTGGCTTGTGATTTACGGGATGCGAAATGTTTCACGTCTTTGGGACATGCGTGCATTGTTCGTTAAGAGTTATCGGCTTACGAGGTGCGACGTAATGTGAGATTCTTAGAAACAACGTGCATTTCTGTGTGGGGTAAGTGTCATTCTTCCCACTCACACTCCTCTTCTCTCTTGCTCGTCCTTGCCCACTCTTCACTGTCGCCCCTGCCTCCCGCCAGTGGACACGCTTCAGCTGTCGCTGCTTTACCCAAACGCCTCCTCCCTCCTCGCGTCCTTCGCCAGCAATGTGACGAAAATAATGGGATCCCTGGTTACCACATTTGCGATCGACGACTCGTCCACCTGTTTCAACGGCACGGGCATCTACCCGCAATACACGGCCTGCTGCGATCCCTACTCCTCCCTCCCCACCTGCCCGGTCACATCCCTCGACCCGTCTAATTACCAATCCGTAGTTAATCGCACTATCGACTCAAATAGCTGTATGGGGCTTGCTCCCCCGCCTCCTCCCCCAGCTCCCGCTCCCGCCCCCGCGTCGCTCCCCTCCGCTCCGCCCCCGCCCCCCCCATCCCCCGTTTCCTACCCCATCTGCCCATTCACGGGTAACTACCCCTCCGTTCCTGCGCTTATTTCGCCTGCCCGCTGCCCGGCCGCGGCGAACCTTTCCTGCTGCCCGGCGTGCAGCGATCTGAACGGCGCGCTACAGCTGGCGTCGGCGAACATGAGCGCGCTTGTAGCGGAGCTCAGCCCCGGCGCTACAGTCGACCCCAGCCTGGGCGTGTGCAAGGGCTTCGAGGGGCAGCAGCGGTGCCTGCAGCTGCTGGAAGATCTCAACTGCGCGTCGACGTGTAACCCGAGTGAGTCAAATGGAATCAACATGTAAACAATGCATGTGTAAATTACCAAACAATAACCCGAGGCTGGGGGTGTGCAAGGGGTTCGAGGGGCAGCAGCGGTGCCTGCAGCTTCTCGAGGACCTCAACTGCGCGTCGTCGTGTAACCCAAGTTAGTCACATGAAATCGACTTGTAAAGAATTGTATGTATAAATTTCCAACCAATGGTCCGAGCCTGGGCGTGTGCAAGGGCTTCGACGGGCAGCAGCGGTGCCTGCAGCTGCTCGAGGACCTCAACTGCGCGTCGTCGTGTAACCCAAGTGAGTCAAATGAAAACGAAGTATTACAATATATGTAATAAATATATGTAACCAATAATCCGATCCTGGGGGTGTGCTAGAGGTTCGAAGGGCAGCAGCCGTGCCTGCAGCTTCTGGAAGATCTCAGGTGGGACAGTTGAAACCTGGTCAGGTGAGATCAGAAGAAAAGGGACATGGAGAATACGAATACATCACTGGTTCCAGAGTCACGTGGCATATCGTTTTAATAAGCACACTCACCTCTTTGTTTCCCCCCCCCCCTCTTTGCGTGGCTGTGTGATCTGCAGATTCTGGCGCTTACATAAGTGGCACCACCATGCGCGTGTGCACTTCCTTTGCTGACGCCCTCTACACCGCGTGCAGCCCCGTGTGGAGTAAGTGCTAATCTCCTCGTAACCTGCAGGTTGCATTAGGTTTTCCCTTTTTCATCCTCTCCCCCGGTCCTAACTGACAGTTTGCACCATTCTTCAGCGAACAAGCCTCTTTCTTTAAGGTCTTCCCCAACACCTCTTCCCCCCCGCGCGTCTTCCTTTCCCGATTTGATCAGCTCCCCTCTCCCACCTCCTACCTCCCCTCGCCCTCCCTCTCAACCCCACCCCCCCTTCCCCTCCCCCCCCCGCAACTCTCTCGTTCCCCCTTGCAGTGAACAACGTCTCTATCTCCGCGCTCTTCCCCAACGCCTCCTCCCTCCTCACCTCATCCGGAGGCAACATAACTGAACTCATGGGATCAAGCATTACCAACCTCACCATCGACGATTCTCATCGTTTCCTCCCCTGTCACCCTCCTCTTCCCATCTTTCTCTCCCCATTCTCCTTCGGTTTCCACAGTGAACAACGTCTCTATCTCTGCGCTCTTCCCCAACGCCTCTTCCCTCCTCACATCCTTCGGAGGCAACATGACCAAACTCATGGGATCGAGCATTACCAACCTCACCATCGACGATTCCAATTCCACCTCCTGTGTCCCCTCACCATCGACGATTCTCATCATTTCTTTCTCTGTGTCCCCCTCTCCCCATCTTTCCCTCCCCCTTTCCCCTTGTCCCACAGTGAACAATGTCTCCATTTCTGCGCTCTTCCTCAACGCCTCCTCCCTCCTCGCATCCTTTGGAGGGAACATAACCAAACTCATGGGATCAAGCATTACCAACTTAACCATCGACGACTCCAATTCCACCGCCTGTTTCAACGGCACTGGAATCTACCCCACCTACACTGCCTGCTGCGACCCCCTCGCCGCCCCTTCCACCTGCCCCGCAACCGCTCTGAACCCCTCTAACTACCCTTCGGATCTGATCAACCGCACCATTGACTCCCAGTCTTGCATGGGCAGCCTCCTTCCCCCTCCGCCTCCCCCTCCCCCTTCCGCCCCCCCTTCCGCCCCCGCCCCTGGCTCCACCTCCGCTCCTTCCCCCACCTCTCCCCCCTCCGCCCCAAGCCCGTCCGCCCCTGGTTCCGCCCCTGCCCCGTCGCCGCCCCCAGTTACAACCTTCCCCGATTGCCCCTTCACGAATAACAGCCCGTATCCGCCTGGTAGTGCCATGCCGCGGTGCCCTGCTGCGGCGAATCTCTCCTGCTGCACGGCCTGCCAGGATATTGATGGCGCGTTGAAACTCGTGACCACGAAACTGGAAGACGTGGTGAAGCGCATTGGCCCAGCGAATTCCGTGGATCCCAGTCTCAAGGTAAGGATTTAAGAAGAAAATATAGATATATGTGCAGAGTGAGTGGGTCAGTAATGTTCACGTGTTTTCGTGTATGCTAATTTCGATGTGATGATTTTTCTCGAGCGCCACTATCAGAGATTTCTGTCTTGTCCACGTGTGCAATCTCTACAGTGACTTCTCACTTCGCGAAACCTGAGCTCGCCTGACTGTTTTCGCCCTGTTCTGTTTTCGTCTCCCTGTTTCGCTTCGCCACTTGCGTGTTCAGCTGTGCGATCTCTACAGTGATCTCATGTGCGAGCAATCAGTGGAGGATATGGTCTGCGCACTCACATGTAACCCAGGTGCGTTACACTGATGAAAATTTTTTGATCTGAGGTTACGGTACAGTATCAGCGGACCTCAACTATGCATCTACATGATACACACTGGTGGCTAGTGACAAGCAAAGGGCAGGTCTAGATTTGAAAGAGGAAAAGGGAAAGAGGGAGAAGGAAAAGGGAAAGAAAGACACCAGAAACATCATTTTTACTGCTATACATTTTTTGCTGCTATACATCATCCTTACAACGTCGTTTTTACTTCCTCTTGCCTTTTCTTGCCAAACATTTCGTATTTGCTGTACCTCGCAACACCAAATAGTGTTTTTTACCTTGTTTATAATCATCATTTTTTACCTTGTTATGTCGGGGTGCGTGCAGATGCGGGTCGGTATGTGACAGTATCGAACGGTGCTGTTTCCATGTCTGTGTGTCCTAGCTATGCTTCCTTCGCCTACGGAGTGTGCAAGGGAACTACAAGTAAGGGATGCCCAAATTATTGTGCTCTTATGAATGGATGCGTGCATGAATACCTTTGTGCAAGAGTGTGTATGGGTATGTGCACGGGTGCGTTTGAGTGTGGGGGTTCCCATGTAAAATGACTGAGTGTGTTTGTGTGTGTGCACAAAATTTGGTGTTCTATTCTATGCAATGTTCCATATTAGCACAATCACCTCTCTATCACCCCCCCGGCATTGTGTACCCTTTGTGTCCCTCCTATGTGCAGTTGGTAACATGACACTCGAGTCCAGCATACCGGATGCTGGCATGTTCCTGAGCACAGTTGTCAGCAGCGTAATCGGCGTCGCCATGGGCTTTAATAACTTCACCGTCACAGTGCAAGAGGTACGGTCAGTTATGTCTGCGCATGTTATAGTGACTTCAGCATCACCATGCAAGAGGTACAGTACCTTATGTCTCTGCATGTTATAGCGACTTCAGCTTCACCATGCAAGAGGTACAGTAACAAACACTTGTGCATATGAAGAGTCATAGTCATGGTCTTTAATAGCTTCAAGGTCACTGTAAAAGAGGTACGATAACGAACACACGGAAATGATGCTTAAATACGTCAACAAATGCACATGCACACATTCATATCTTCACGAATTCACATGCACACATTCATATCTTCACAAATTCACATGCACACATTCATATCTTCACGAATTCACATGCACACATTCATATCTTCACAAATTCACATGTGCACATCTTTCCCCATTTAAAGCCCCCCGCTTGTTCATCCCTCAAACTCCCATCCCCTTCCGTCTTCCCCCTCCCCCCGCCCTCCCCCCGCCCTCCCCCACCAGCTGTTTCAACGGCTCTCCCCTCGTCCCAGCCACCCCAGCTTGCTGCGACCCGCTCTCCGTCCCCTCCTCCTGCCCCATTCTTCTTGCAACATAAATCCCTCTAACCCACATCCCCCTTTGTGTCCTCCCTTCCCCCCTCCCTGACTCTGCCAGACCAACTGTTTCAACGGCTCTCCTCTCGTCCCAGCCACCCCAGCGTGCTGCGACCCGCTCTCCATCCCCTCCTCCTGCCCTCTAGGCTCAATCGACCCGTCTCAATACCCCGACACCATCGGCCGAACCATCAACTCCTCTCTTTGCCTCTCCGCCTCCCCTCCCCCTCCTCCTCCTGCCACAGCCCCCTCCTCTTCCCCTCTCCCCCTGCTCCTTCTGCTCCCGGCTCTGCCCCTTCACCTCCTCTCGCTCCCGGGAGTTTCCCGTCCCCCTCCCCGCCTGCTCCTGCTGTGCCTTCTTCCCCTGAGAATAACTCAAGGCCTCCCCCTCCTCCCTCTCCTCCTTCCAAGGCTGCTTCCGCCTCATCTTCTGCTGCTGCGACAGTGGTGATGGCGGCTGTGTTGCTGCTTACAACTGCAGTTCTGTAGAAAGGGGTTGATTCGACTCAAATTATTGCTCTCCTGAGGGGGGTAGTTCTGTCGTTCTGTTTGCTCTGCCCTGAGAGGGCTGGCATGGGGGCGGATCGGGTGGTGGTGGGCTGTGTGGTGGGCCTGGTTCGGCTGTTTGTGGGCTGCGGTTGTTTGTGTGTTTTGGGGGGGAAGGTGCAAAGCGGTGGGTGCTTGTTGGTTAGTGGCAGGAGCAGCAAGTGCTGTTTGGAGGTACACTGTTTTCTAGGCAGATAACTAGACTGATATTACGTAGTCTGATACAAGTAGGAGTCCCGCTGATGCTATGGCAGAAACTAAACAGCGCCTTCTGATGTGGAAATGACATTATGGTAGTATATTACTGATTCTCCTGACTGACCTTCAACATTGTTCCAAGTTAAAGCTAGCAGTTGCAAGCAGAGCCACTAGCTCTGCTAGTTTCTCGTACAACAAGCAACGACATTTCATGTAGGTGCAATTAGAAGTGCAGAGCCTTTAAACAATGATGCGTACTTCCCTGGACAACTACAGTGATTCATGTTGGGTAAAGGAAGTACCAACCAGCAGGTTCGGCCCATCAAACATCCCTACTAGTACTCAGAGTCAATCTCAGATCCCAAAGCCCAAAGGATAGGGAGAGTTGGGCGAGCGGAGTCTGAAGAACTATGGTTGCACAGTATGTTCCAATGAGAGGCGTCTAGAATGCTTAGAGCAGCAAGTTTGGCGTGAAAGAGGTGTTACAGGCATAGAGAAGGCGGGAGAGGGGGGGCAAAAGGGAGAGAAGGGTAACGAAGGAGAGGGGGGGACATGGAGAGGGAGAAGGGAGAGGAGGTCACAGCAGCAGTGCCAGTGCTAGCAGGGCAACACCGGCGGAGAGAAGGAAGGAGAGAAGGGAGATATAGGTGGATGGAGGAGGGGAGGCGGGTTTTGGAGGGGGAGGAGGAGGGGATGGAGTGGTGGATGCAGGAGAGGAGGGAGTGGGTGGAGAGGGAGAGAGAGAGGGAGGAGGGGATGGAGGGGGAGTTGATGACACTGGGGACGGAGGCCCGGCAGGCAAAGGGGGAGAAGCGGGAGAAGGAGAGGGAGGAGGGGAGGGAGGAACGTCAACAGCAGGAGCCGGAGCAGGAGCAGGGGAGGGTTCAGGTGAAAACTGGGGAGGAGGGGCGGGAGCAGGGGCGGGCGCGGCAGCAGGGCTGAGGGCAGGACCAGAAGCAGGGCCTGGCGGGGGGGGAAGGCCTGCCTGGCAGGCGGAGGAGTTGATTGGTCGGTTGATGATGGAGGCGTAGCGAGTGGTGTTGATGGCTGAAGCGGGGCAGAGGGGGGGGACGGCGAGTGGGTCGCAGCAGGCTATGTAGGGAGGGAACTGCGTGGTGCCTGCGAAACAGTTCTTCTGAAAGGGGGAAGGGGGGGGGGAAGACAGGGGGTGGGGGAAGACAGGGGTGGGGGAAGACAGGGGTGGGGGAAGAGACAGGAGGAAGTAAATAATGAGGGGGGACGGCGAGAGGGACACAGTAGGCTATGTAGGGAGGGTACTGGGTTGTGCCTGCAAAACAGTTTTTCTGGAAGAAGGGGGGGAAAGACAGGGGGGGGTTGGAAGACAAGGGGGGGGAGGCTATGCAAGTGCACGCATGCACAGCACATGGTAACAAACGCAGCACATGGTAACAAATGCAGCACTCACCATTCCGATTGTTGCGTTGAAGCCTTTCACTCCCAGCACTTTGACAACGGCCCCCACCACCATGGGTGCAAACACTGCACTCTCATGTATTGACCATGCAGCACACTACACGAAATGCAGCACTCACCGCTCCGATTGTGGCGTTAAAGCCTTTCACCCCCAGCACTTGAACAACGCCCCCCACCACCATGGTAATGAAATTGGGTGCGTCTGGGATGAACGTTCCCAGGGTTATGCCATCGCTCACTGGGGGTGGTGTGGGAAGAGAAGAGAGAGGGAGAGGGGAGAAAAGAGTATGATTGAGACGCCTCAAAACCACTTGGGGTGTTGTGGAAGAGAGAGAGAGAAGGGAGAAGAGACGTTTATACTTGAGACGGCTCAAAAACCGCCATAGACATGAAATTGACTACGTCTGGAATGAAGGTTCCCAGGGTTATGCCGTTGCTCACTGGGGGTTGCGACAGACAGAGAGGAGGGTTGTGTGTGAGAGAGGGAGGGTGGAGAAATTTTGAGCGTGTGAAACGGGCTGGTATGAAGGTTCAAGACCCCCAGCACCTGGACAACGCCCCCCACCACCATGGTTATGAAATTGGGTGAGTCTGGAATGAAGGTTCCCTTTTGAGTCGACTCAAAAGTCAATTGGGTGCGTCTGGGATGAAGGTTCCCTTTTGAGTCGACTCAAAAGTCAATTGGGTGCGTCTGGGATGAAGGTTCCCAGGGTTATGCCGTCGCTAGCAGAAGAAGCAGCAGCAGCAGCAGCAGCAGCACTGGTAGCACCAGCACTACTGGCATCAGATCAGATCGGCTCATACTCACGTGCTAACCCCTGGCAAGTGTTGTACACCTCTTGAGCATAGGCCGGGCAGACCGTCATGGTGGGACCAGTCGCATTAGCGGCAGCACCACTGGCAGGGGCGGCGGGTTTGATGTAGTTGCCGGCGTCGGGGTTGCACTGGGCAGCACACACGAGATCCTCCAAGAGCTGCCCGCACTTCACCTGCCCCTCAAACAGCTCGCACAGCTGAAGGAGAGGGGGGGAAGGGGAATGGGGGGTTGTGTGCGGTTGGGAAGGGTGTGTGGTACCAAACCACACGAGATCCTCCAAGAGCTGACCGCACTTCACCTGCCCGGCAAACAGCTCGCAGAGCTGTGGGGGGTTGTGTGCGGTTGGGAAGGGTGTTTGGAGAGCAATCAAGACGAGATTCTCCAAGACCCGCACTTCACCTGCCCGACAAATAGTTCGCAGAGCTGAGTAGGTGAGAGAAAAGGGGAATGGGAGGCGCAGTGGAGAGGGAAAGGGAAGAATTAGCGGCAGTAGCAGCACCATTGTCAGCATCAAGGTCGCGGGTTGAGTGGGAGGGGGGGGAGATGGAGGGAGGGGAGTGCGGGAACAAGGGAGGGTGGGGAGAGTGGTGGGGAAGGGTGCGGGGACGAAATATCAACTTTCCCGCATCAGATCCCAGTCGAATGCAAACAACTGAACCAAACCCATCAGATTCCGTTTTGTCGAGTTTATCCCGAGATTCAACTGATAACGCGAAAGGGCCAAATGTTATGACCGTCACAGGATGATTCGTTGAAAGAACGCGAGGTACAAAGGGGTACACGAAGCCCTCTTTAAATGTTCCGTCAATATAACCCAGCTGCGCGGGGTCGACAACCGCTACATCTTTGAAGATGATGCGTTGAAGCACACGAGGTACAGTGAGCCCACCTTCATTGATCTTTTGATAAAATCCACCAGCGCGGGGTCGATAGCCGCTACAAGATGATTCGTTAAAAGCACACAAGGTACAGTAAGCCCACCTTCATTGATCCATTGATAAAATCCACCAGCGCGGGGTCGATAGTCCCCACGAGATCGCCGAGCGTTGACCCGGCGAGCATCAAAGACGAGTTCAAATCCGTGCACGATTCACAGCACGACAGCTCAGCAGCGCCGGGACACCTGGTCGGTGGCACCTTGGGCTTCTGCGGAGGCTTCCCGGTCAAGGGGCATGTGGGGTAGGCGGATTTAGGCGGGGAGGGGGGAGAGGAGGCGGGCGGAGAGGCGGCGGGGGAGATGAGGGGCGCGGAAGGGGACGGAGCGGCGGGCATGATGAGAAGCGGCGGAGGGGGGTTTGCGGATGGCGCGGCGAGAGCGGAGGAAGGGTGGAGGGTGGCAGCGACGAGGAGGACGACGACGAGGAGCGGAGACGGCGCGCTGCGAGTAGACCGCGCGCTTCGGGAAAACGGCGCGCTACGGAAAGACGTTTGGATGGCCATGATGGTGTCTGCCGGTCGGCGCGTGTGACAACAGCGAGCGTGACAGTAGCGAGTTTGACAGCACCGAGCGTAAAAGCAGCGGGTGTAACAGTATCGAGTGCTAGCAGCGAATGCGAGCGGATTTCTCGCTGCGCTTTTGAAACGCGACGCGACCGAGCGCCGGAAGGAAAAGGTTGCGCAGAGGGGCGCAGGGGAAAGAAAAAATGCTGGCCAGACACCAACACAAACGATCGACCAAGGCCAATCCAACCACGATGGTCATTTTGCAAAATACGAGGTTGGAAAATGGAAGAAATGGAGAAGGGGTTTGTCGGTGGAGGGATCAGGACGGGAGGAACTGGAACCAAGTAAATAGTTCGAGTTATCCCTACCTTGGAAGAACCCGCATCTGTAACTAGAAGTCAGAACATTAGCCCAAAACGTTGCTATAGGACAGGTAGGCAGTTTGGGCGCAAAATGGACGGACAAAGCATAATCAATAACATTACGGTCTTATACCAGACCCTGAAACAAGGGAACAGATCCTTTTTGTTCTCCCGCCAGGCCCTTCATTAAAGAAACAAATCCTTTTTGTAGAGACTACATCGGAAAAATAGGGAGAGGTGAGGGGAAGATGGAACGACACGAAGGAAGCACGATCTGGCGCCGCACACATCACCGCACCCGCTGGTGGAACGCCGTCGGGCAGGTATCTAGGACTGAAATGGGGAGTACCGTGGGGTATACAGTACAGTACATAAACGCCTGGAATTCCTACACTTACGAGCGGCTCGAGAGCTGCACATAGTACTGTGGTTTGTAGTGTACTCGAGAAAGCAGGCCTGTTTTGCTACTTGAAACAAAATTCTTAGTTTTGAGGTGTAGTGCTGCAGCTTAGGGCTGAAGCCACGGAAATCGAAGCGGGCAACGTCATTGGCCAAGCGGTCCTCGCGAATTTCCGGCAAGAAACGCAATTGGTTGGGAGTCAGGATTCCCTTCTGCGATATGGACGACGCGATCCTCATTTACAGTTTTCCCTTTTTATCCATTGAGCATGGGACCGCAAAAAATATACACCACACTTGTAGAGTCCTTGGTTCAACAGCTGAAGCTGAATCAGCCAGAAAACAAGCGTGAACTCCATCTCCAAGTACAGCTCGTACACAAGAACCGTAATTGTATTCTGTCTCGCTCATCCAATGATTTCTCCACAACACTACAGCACAAGCATTGCAACAGCCCCATAAAAAAGGTATCTAATCACCGATGCATAGCAAGCAACCGAGGGCGAGCCTGTTTTTGGAGCAGGCGGCGAGGGAGAGGAAGATGAAGAAGGTGAGGAAGGGGACGGGGTAATAACCGTGGGAGGCGACGGGGAGGGGGTGGTAACCACGGGTGGCGATGTGGACGGGGATGCGGTTGGGGCTGGGGAGGGGAGTGGGGCTGAACCAGGGGCAGAAGCGGAGGGAGGAGCAGAAGGAGTGGAGGCTAGGCAATTGGCTGGGTCGATGGTTCGGCCAATCAGATCGGCGTATTCGGTGGTGTTGACCGAACCGGCAGGGCAGGTGGCGGGGACACTGAGAGGGTCGCAGCAGGCAATGTTGGTGGGGTAGACTCCACTGCTGGTGAAGCAGCGAGTCTGAGTGGAGGGAGGAGGGAGGAGAGAGGGGAAGAGGGGTCAGGAGGGGCGAGGAGGCAAGAGAGGGGAGGAGGCAAGAGGGGGGAGGGGGCAGGGGACACTGAGAGGGTTGCAGCAGGCAATGTTGGTGGGGTAGACTCCACTGCTGGTGAAGCAGTCAGTATGAGAAGAGGAAGGGGAGGGGATGGAGAAGGGTAGAGATGGGGAAGGGGACGCTGAGAGAGTCTCAGTAGGCAACGCTGGCGGGGTGGACTTTTTTGAGGTGCCTCAAAAATCGCCTCAGTAGGCAATGCTGGTGGGGTGGACTCCGCTGCTTGTGAAGGAGACAGTGTGAAGGAGAGGGGGGAGGGAGAGGGAGGGAGAGTGACGGGGAGGGGAGGGAGGGAGGGGATTGGGGAGAGAGGGGGAAGGGCGCAGTGAGGGTGGCAGCAGGCAATGTTAATCGGGATGAACTAGTCAGTCTAGGTAAGGGGTGAGGCGGAAAGGCGGAGAGGCGGAGGGGAGTGTGAGGGGGAACGGGGGAGGGGGGATGCTGAGAAGCACAGGGAAGGGATGATAAACAGAACAAAGGACCGTGGAGTGGAAGGCAGGATAACTGAAAACGTTGCAGCAGGCAATGTTTGTGGGGTGTGCTCCACTACCGATAAAATAGACCGCTTGGGGAGAAGTTACTTTGGAGCAGGCAGAGTGCACATTCTTACTCCGATACAATTGCTCACTGTAGAGCAGCTACACACTGTAATACACACTGTAATACAGTTACTCAGTGACATTTGAGTCGTCTCAAAAGTGTAGAGAAGTTGTCACTCACTGTAGTGGACGCAAACTTGAAGTTTGGCAATCCCGAGGTGACTTTTGAGTCGACTCAAAAGTCACTCAGTGCAGAGAAGGTGTTACTCACTGTAGTGAACGCAAACTTGAAGTTGGCAATCCCGAGGGACTTGACGACATTAGCCACGATAATGTTCATGAAGTCAGGGTAAGACGAGATGAGCCCCGTCAGGTCCATACCGTCGCCCACTGTTTCTCAGATTGAGGGGCAGCAAAATAGGATAGGAGGGAATGATGACAATGTTAGCCACGATAATGATCATGAGGTCAGGATAAGAAGAGATGAGCCCCGTCAGGTCCATACCGTCGCCCACTGTTGGTCAGATTGATGGGCAGCAAAATAGGATAGGAGGGAATGATGACAATGTTAGCCACGATAATGATCATGAGGTCCGGATAAGAAGAAATGAGGCCTGTCAGGTCCATACCGTCGCCCACTGTTGGTCAGATTGAGGGGCAGCAAAATAGGATAGGAGGGAATGATGACAATGTTAGCCACGATAATGATCATGAGGTCCGGATAAGAAGAGATGAGGCCCGTCAGGTCCATACCGTCGCCCACTGTTGCACCGAAATTGGCGGGATTAAAAGGGAGGCGAAGGGAATAAAAGGGATTCCAAGATTATTGGCATATCTAAGTTTATGAAAAACGACGTGCAAGCCAGGGCCGAGTAAGCAGTGCAGGCCTTCATTATGGTGCCTGGCTGTGGTGTGCCTGGGGTCTGGTTATAAGGGGCCAAAAAAGGGGGGGGGGGGGGGGTTGGAAAAATCTTACGGGAGAGGCCGCTGCAGGCTTTGAAAAGCGTGTCCGCGTAGCCAGTGCAGACCGTCATTGTGGTGGAGTTGTTGGGAACAACGGCAACTGCTTGCATGATGGAGAGGTTTGAAAGGGAATGCTTACGTGAAAGGCCGCTGCAGGCTTTGAAGAGGGTGTCCGCGTAGCCAGTCCAGACAGTCATGATGTTGAATGTGCCTGGGGTCTTGCTTTTTAAGAGCCAAGGAAATGTAGAATTCTTACAGGAAAGGCCGCTGCAGGCTTTGAAAAGGGTGTCCGCATAGCCAGTGCAGACTGTCATGGTGGTGGAGTTGTTGGGAACAACGGCGACTGCTTGCATGATGGAGAGGCTTGAAAGGGAATGCTTACGTGAAAGGCCGCTGCAGGCTTTGAAGAGGGTGTCCGCGTAGCCAGTGCAGACAGTCATGGTGGTGAATGTGCCTGGGGTCTGCTTTTCAAGCGACAGCAGGAAAAGAATGATACTTACAGGAAAGGCCGCTGCAGGCTTTAAAGAGGGTGTCCGCGTAGCCAGTGCAGACAGTCATGGCGGTAGATGTGCCTAGGGTCTGCGTTTTACACCTCTATAAATCAACACAAAAGGAGAAATTCTTACAGGAGAGCCCGCTGCAGGCTTTGAAGAGGGTGTCTGCGTAGCCAGTGCAGACCGTCATGGTGGTGGAGTTGTTGGGAACAACGGCGACTGCTTGCATGATGGAGAGGCTTGAAAGGGAATGCTTACGTGAAAGGCCGCTGCAGGCTTTGAAGAGGGTGTCCGCATAGCCAGTGCAGACAGTCATGGTGGTGAATGTGCCTGGGGTCTGCTTTTCAAGCGACAGCAGGAAAAGAATGATACTTACAGGAAAGGCCGCTGCAGGCTTTAAAGAGGGTGTCCGCGTAGCCAGTGCAGACAGTCATGGCGGTAGATGTGCCTAGGGTCTGCGTTTTACACCTCTATAAATCAACACAAAAGGAGAAATTCTTACAGGAGAGGCCGCTGCAGGCTTGGAAGAGGGTGTCTGCGTAGCCAGTGCAGACCGTCATGGTGGTGGAGTTGTTGGGAACAACGGCGACTGCTTGCATGATGGAGAGGCTTGAAAGGGAATGCTTACGTGAAAGGCCGCTGCAGGCTTTGAAGAGGGTGTCCGCGTAGCCAGTGCAGACAGTCATGGTGGTGAATGTGCCTGGGGTCTGCTTTTCAAGCGACAGCAGGAAAAGAATGATACTTACAGGAAAGGCCGCTGAGGGTGTCCGCGTAGCCAGTGCAGACAGTCATGGCGGTAGATGTGCCTAGGGTCTGCGTTTTACACCTCTATACATCAACAAAAAAGGAGAAATTCTTACAGGAGAGGTCGCTGCAGGCTTTGAAGAGGGTGTCCGCGTATCCAGTGCAGACAGTCATGGTGGTGGAGTTGTTGGGAACAACGGTGACGTAGGAGCCCGAGTTAGGGTTGCATGACAGTCCGCACAACAGATCCTCTATAAGTTGTGCGCACTGCGCCTGACCCGTGAATAGATCGCACACCTGAGGCAACGGAAACAAGGGAATCATGGAAACGGTAGTTTGTAAACAAGGGAATTATGGAAACCCTGCACAGCGGAGCCAGACGCACAGCAGATCCTCCATTAGCTGTGCGCACTGCACCTGACCCGTGAATAGATTCCGCACCTTGAGGCGATTGTTTTAATGAAACAAGGGAACATGGGAAAGAGAATCATGAAGAGTAAACCAACCGTTCAGCAAATGTTCCATAAGCTGTGCGCACTGCGCCTGGCCCGTGAATAGATCGCACGCTTGAGGTCGTTGAGCCTTTGGAAGGAACGAAGACTACGAGGAAGGGAAGCAACGGAAAATAAGACATGTAATCGAGATCGTGGAGATTTAAAACAGCCGCACAGCTGATATTGCATGCAAACCGACCGCTGTGCGCAAGACGCGACGGACGGAACAGCCGGAAGTCGTTGGGTTTCCGTTGATTGAATCGATCCTTGCTACTCGCGTTATTGTTTGGTCGTGACGAAAAGAGATATCGAAACGTGCTGGTGTTGCCTTCAGGTCCGCGTTGATAATATGCAGCCGCTGCAAACGAATTCTGACGCGCCTAGAATAGGAGGGTGACCTTCAACTTCGCGTCTATCAAATTCCGCGATCTACGGTTTGCTACACTTGAGGACCCTAGAGGATAAAGCGTGCGCTCGGCTCGGCTCGTCTCGGTTCGGTTCGGCTCGGCTCGGCTGACTTTGAGCTTTGCGTCGACTCAACACCCGAAAATAGAGCCCTTGGTGGGCTCGGCTCACCTTGAGATTCGGTTTCGATAAGGTCTACAAACTGCGGGCTAATCTGCGCCACGACCACAGAGGGAACTGCTGTGCTGAGCTGTGCTGTGCGATGCTGTGCTGTACAGTGCAGTGCTGTGCTGTGCTGGGCTCGGCTCACCTTGAGCTTCGGGTCGATCAGATCTACAAATTGCGGGCTAATCTGCGCCACGACGCTGGTAAGGTTCGTCCCGACAATCCCGAGGGCCGTGTTCAGATCCGTGCAGTCCGCGCAGCACGACGCATCGACAGCGGCCTTGCATCGCGGCGGGGGAACCGCCGGTTTTGTCGGCTGCTTCCCCGTGAACGGGCACGCGGGATATTTCGGCGACGGTGACGCTAGCGACAGGCCGTGGACGTGTGCGACGGAGAGAGTGGCGACGACGAGGAGCAACAGCTGCGGAGCGATTTTCGCCATTGTGTTATTCTTCTTTTTTCGACTAGACGGCCACACGCTATGAATACCGTCTTAGCGTCCCTTATGCGACAGCCCACAAAGATCGGTGACAGAATTCGTTTCAACCTGAGCGACAAACCTAACAATTGGATCCCTTTCACTATGATCGCATCTGTCTTGTGGTCAAGTAATGGAGGATATCCGAATACGAGCGTGTTCCTCCAAGAAAAGGAATTCAGAATGCAATCGTCAGCTGAGCGAAGAGCAGATAATAACTCCCTGCGATTTGCTGCACCGACAGATAAGATATCTAGGTCTGGGAGGGAAACACTGCTCTGTGCGATAACACACAAATGAGCTGTTTTCGTAATCAGCTCAGCGAAGGGCTGGTGCTTGCAGCGAGAAGGCTAGCGATAAGGTCGATAACACAACCAAGTAACCTAGCGACCGTCGTAACGGACCGCCGACAGCAGCGGCAGTGAACGTGCTCGCGTGGTGCCTATTGGAATGCAGAGGAGCTAGGGCGCGTTTTGGGGTGGCGATCAGAAGTCTCCAATCCAAACGAGCTGCGCAAGGGTCTTGAACGGCCAAACTCATCTCATCTGCCGCAAGTAGATCTCCACCGTTCACGACTAGAATCTGGCGACCAAGCAACCACAGGATCAACAGCCTCAGGTGGTCGGAGGTTGTTTCTGGCGGTCTCCACATCCAAATGGCGACCGAAATCGGCCGAAAACTGCCGTGTTTCTTTCTGAAACCGAGCGAAGAAGAAGGTTTCTGGAAACATGAAAGATGACAACTGGACCCTGTAAGTTCGATTAAATGGATTCGCATACAAGCAACATGGTGCTTGTACACCATAACCTTGGGATATATAAGATATGGTGAAACAAATAACAGTGGCCTTAATCAGATTGAATGCATCGACAGTGGCCGGTTTTGCAATTCAATCACGTAATAATTGGCCTTGAACTGAGACGTACAGTCCCGATTTGGATTCCCTTTTGTGGCAAAGAGCAAGCAAATGTACCGGTAACTCTCTACAGCTTGTAGTGGATCCCGATTCCCGGGGATTGCAGTCCACGGTGACCAAACTTGTCAGATTATAGCTGGGTGACATCACCTCGGACTGTGGATGGCTTACTGCTATAAAATGTTGCTTTGCCAATGCATGCTCTGTACAGGATTGTCCAGAAAAATCCCAAATACTTTTACTTCAAAAAACTGCAAGAGCAAGCATGCCTATGGCCACATAACGCACATATATAGAGAATAAATAATGAGCTGCGACAACTGACGAGCCAGTTTTGGGAGGAGGAGGAGGAAGGGGGGTTGGGGGGGTTGTCGTGGTAGGAGTGGGTGGCAATGGAGGGGGTGTGGTGGCTTGGCACGTAGCCGAGTCAATGGATCGGCTAATGAGACCGCCATATTTTGCGGTGATGTTGGCAGGACAAGTGGCAGGCACATTGAGAGGATCGCAACAAGCAGTGTAGAGGGGATATGAGCCAGTGCCGTTAAAGCAAGGCGACTGGGATTGGAAAAAACAGGCAAGAAGCGAAAACGTGAGAGGGGTGGAGGGGAGAGGGGAGGGGGGAAATGGGGAAGAGAGTTAAGTCGATAAGCTAAGAGATGAGAATGAAACATCTTGGAGCGGTGTGCATTGCATATTGGTTGTGTGACAAAACCTCACTCTGCCTGACCTCCCACGTAACTTGGAACAAACCCTTGCCACAGAAAATCAGAATGATTAGAAGGGAAGGAGAAAATAACACAATCGAAGAGAAAGGAAAGTTGGAGAAGAGGGGAAGGGGAAACAAGAGTGAGCGTGCGAGAAGCGCTTACAGAGGATATTTGGATCTCAAAGCCCTCAACTCCGAGCGTCTTGATGACGTTTGTAACAACGAGGCTCATGAATTCGTCTGTTGTGGTAACCAGTCCTGACAAGGACATGTCACCGACTGTGCTTGTAGCAAAAGGTGAGAAGTGAGCAGAGAAGGGAAAGCGGGGAAATTCAGGGAGAACAGAGTGAGGAGAAATTATTGGCAATACCAGAGAAGCTTGTAGCGCATCCGACATGCATGAGGGTATGCATTACTGACTAGAACCAAGGTCATGTGTCTGGAAAATCACATGCGATACCTTCGCACCGTGAGCGTGACATGCTCATGACACTAATTGGAGGAAAGGAACGGTGTGAATGAGCACTGGCACCGGATCCCAACACAGCTCCTTCCAGGGTGTTTACGAGGACCAGTCAAAGCCTCAGAATAGCTAGCCTGGCCTCCAAGTAACAATACTCACAAGCAAGGCTCTTGCACCTTGTTTGCTGAATTCGAGCGCACGTTCATGCCACGAGTCTTCTCTCATACTCTGTAGATCCTTGAAATTCATACTTGCTGATGATACTCACACTGAAGGCCCTTGCACTGTGTGAATACTTTGTCTGCTAGATCCGAGCACACGTTCATGATCACCCCAGTGTTGGATTTTGTCGCGTAGTATCCAGCATTAGGGTTGCACGAGAGCCCGCACATGAGGTCCTCCAGTAGCTGTAGGCATGGCGTCATGCCTGTGAAAATATCGCACACCTGGGGGAACACGAGATGGAGCAGGCGAGGAAGAGAGTCTTATCATGAGGCTTTTGATTTGCATGTCTCTTGATTCGGGCTCTTGAGTTAGACCTCTGAGGTCCTCAAGGAAAGAGTTGCAAGCTCTGGGTTACTAAGCCTGAACGTTCCGAACGTTCCGTCTTAAAAGAGCCGCATCATGCAGCGATTGCACGCCCCTAAGCCTGCCAACGCACCGCTATGCTAGAATCGATCCCATCCGCGATGGTGGGGTTAATCTGAGTCACCACGTCCTTTAGATTCGAAGCTACCAGATGCAGAGCTGTGCTCATATCCGTACAGTTGTCGCAGCATGATTGGTCCTTGGCGGCCGGGCAACGGGCAACCGGAACGGTGGGGTTTTTGGGAGGCAGGCCAGTTAACGGACAGATGGACGACGCCAAGCCTGGGGCTGCCGGCAAGGCCGGCGCGGGAGGCGGGGGAGCCGCCTGTCCGTGGAGATTGGCGAGCGTGGCGAGAACGAAGAGAAGCACGAAATCCGGACACCTCGCCATATCTAGACGTGGACGAGGAAAATGACGAGCTTGTGAGTGGATTGAACTGAGCAGAGACTGGAAATCGTAAGTTCAGCGGCGCGGAAATCAATATTATACGCAAATTAAGAAAACGCAAATTCACACAATATGAAGGCATGTCCCTAAATAGCCAGCGCCTCCTTCCCTTCGCATTGATTGGCCATTCCTGCTTCGGGCCAATTGACGGCGAGAAAGGTCGTTTGCTCTCTAGCGGGGACAACCTTTGCGAACACCACTAATTCTGGAACGCGCTTTTTGACTTAAACAAGATGGTGTTTCCAAATCTATGTGCGCCTAAAAGATTCAAGCTCCTCAGCATTTGGAACATCAAGAACAATTCCAGCCTTGAAATTATGACACAATCTAATCTTAGAAGAGATATTGAGAGGAGAACGGGCCACACTGCCTGGACACTGGTTCAAGACAAACAACGGAGCAGAATGCAAATAAATTGGATGGGATGGAAGAATGTGGAACCAACAATAAAATAAGAGAACAGGTGAAGGAGAAACCTCAAATATACAGATGTGCTCGTCATAACCATTACCTGTACATGTTGTTGCTTGTTGTCTAGCATAGTCAGATAACAGGCCTCTGGAGTCGTGACAACACACGCCGGTCGTCCGTTGTGCAGCCAGTCAGATTTCATACGTGGCACGATGTTGAGGGAGAAGGGGCTCACTCCCGCCAGCCCCGCTGCCATGTAGCCAAATGTGGAGCTGTCACTCACCAGCAGCAGGTCGCTGGGGGGGAAGGGGAGTGGGGAGAGGGTGGGGTATGAGGGAGAGAGGGTGGGAAAGGTATCCAAGCGTTTCCACTCCTGCCAGCTCTGCTGCCATGTAGCCAAAGGCGGAGCTGCCACTCACCAGCAGCAGGTCGCTGGGGGTGGGGGTGGGGGGAGAAGTTTGTGGGAAAAAAGTTTGACACATTCATGTTTTAGGTTGGGGTGGAGTGGAGGGGGTGAGGGGAGAGGGTGGTGGCAAAGAAGCAGGTGATGCATGGTGAGTTTTGGTAGACACCAAACTGCATCCAGACACTATAATACAGAAGCCACATGAAAACGTCTGAAGTGATGAGAACATTCGCATACCATACCACCTGAGTCATATAACGTGAAAAAAAGCACTCCATGAACATGAATCCTGAACAGAACATGATTGGTACAAAACGAACAATACTGCACGAACAATACCACATGAACAGTACCACATGGAGAGAAGCCACATCTCCTTGAGTGCCCTCTCCAGCTGCAGCAGATCGCCTGTCTTCTGTTCACCCTCGTGACTCAAACTGCACACATGGAGAGATGGAGACAGCAAACCAGAAGGAACTGTGCTGTTTCGGCTCCAGAAGAGAAATAATAGCCTAGGCGCCTCAAAAGTTGCACTGCAAGCACCACAGAAAACAAACTGCGTGAGAATGCAAGATGATTGGGAGGAAAAGAAGCGGGAGTGGGGCAGTGACGCGTCCCAGCGAGTAGGCATTGCATCAAGACTCCAATTTGAAAATCAACACTCTCACCTGGTAACTGCAACATTGTAACCGTCCAGTGGTAACCCTTCCACATACGCCTCGTGTAATGCATCCACATAGGAGCGCTTTAGAGAAGCCACCAGCACACCAACGCTGTGCACAGTGCCGGCTCCTGCTGCCTTCTGGATTGACTCCACATCACTTGAGTTGACTGCGCTCTATAATTTGGAGCGGGACGGCATGGAAAGAGATGGGGAGAAAAAAAACAAGTGGTAGATGCTAATGAGACAAGAGCGGGATGGTAAGTGCTGTGATGGTGACGGATCAAGCAGAGCAATCTTGAAGTGAAGCATCTTGCAAACGAGAGGGCAGAGAAGCAACTTGTTTACTTGGTTGCTGGCCAGGAGGCGCCACTGGTCATGGGGCATTACAGGGGGCAGCCCATGGGAGATGTAAACAGCACACGGGCGAGGGCCGGCTTACAAATCATATCTGTTTGCCTGCTGGCCTGCTGTCCAGCCTGTGTTTACCTGGTTGCTGGCCAGATGCCGCCACTGGTCATGGGGCAGCGCAGGGGGCAGCCCATGGGAGATGTTGACAGCACAGTGCAGCACACGGGCGAGGGCCTCTCCCTCGTTGCTGCTGGCAGTGGTGAAGTCACGGATCTGATGCGAGGGGAAAAGAGGAACACAGCCTAGGAACGTTTCAGAAAGGAGGATACCATCACTACCGCATTCTGTACCATGCTTTGGATCGGATTTTGAGTCGACAAAAAAAAAACGTAATTCTGCTTCGGATCAGGCCCGGATGCTGAGCCTTCTTTGCAATGGACTGGATGCGAAGAGTGAGTTCATGCATACAGACCTGGATACCGACCCTGTGTTGGTACAGACCTGGATACCGACCCTGTGTTGGTACAGACCTGGATACCGACCCTGTGTTGGTACAGACCTGGATACCGACCCTGTGTTGGTACAGACCTGGATACCGACCCTGTGTTGGTACGGACCTGGATACCGACCCTGTGTTGGTACAGACCTGGATACCGACCCTGTGTTGGTACAGACCTGGATGCCGACCCTGTATTGGTACGGAGCGAGGTAGGCTCGGAAGGCGCGGGTGATTTCCTCCCAGAGGTAGTTGGCGGGGTGCAGCAGGTAGCGCCCCACGTGCATCAGCGGCAGGCGGTCGGGGAATAGGCGCTCCAACTCAGCCTGTCAGACAGGGGTGAAGGAGGGGATACAGCAGGCAGGGGGGAGGGGAATATGACAGGAGCACGGGGGTGCGCTGTGCCGAGCCATGTGCATCAGAAGCAGGCTGTCAGACACCAGGCAGACACTCCAGCTTAACCTGTGAGGAGGGATGCAGGGGAAAAGACAGCGAGCAATGGAACTGACCAGGTCATGTGTGCATGAAAGTTGGCAGTTTGCAAGGAATACGGACTTATATGAAACTAATAAAACAATAATAATAATGTTAATAATAATAATAAAATTCAGATTTGTAAGGGGTGACTACAAGTCACGGACGGATGGGAAGAGTAGACATACATCGAACTGGGGCACGAGGTAAAAGCCAGGCAGAACGTACTCCTCTGTGAGCAGAGCTAGGAAACGGACGGCTACGATTCTTTCCTGCTCTTGCGAGCAGAAAAACACGAAATCCGTGTCGTTCACTCTGTGCACAAGGCAATGGGAGGGAGAGGATGGAAGCAATGACGAGAGGTGAGGAGAATGGCATGAGATTGTGAGGTAAAGGGTGGGTGGGACAAAAAAGGGTTGCTGTGTGATTATCTGAAATTAAGATTGCTGTGACTCACGAGTAGTTGAGGTTGCTGAACACAGCATCAGCAGCATCGTCATCCGTGGTGTTGGCTGCAGCTGCACCTGGTTCTTGAAACGCATTGTAGCCCACACGCCTCTTCTCAGCTCTCAGTCTCATGTGGCTGGCAAAGGGCGAATGGGAGAATGGAGAGGAGTACAAGAAAGAGGGAGCATGAAACAACATAGTGGAAAACTCACCAATGAAAGCACATGAGGCAAGTGCATCAAAGAAAACATGCAGATAGAGGAAAGCAGATGGAGAAAAGAAATGAGAGTGCTCACTTAAAGGAACCCCTGTCGAGAGCGGGAGGAGCCCAGGAGGAGTAGGGGAAGGGGTTGCAGAGGAGACGGGCAGGGAAGCACTCAGGATTGATGAGGAGAGTGCGGTTGGTGAGGAGGGCGTAAGCGAAGGAGGACACGAGGGAGAGCAGCTGGTTGCCTAGGCCTGACCAGCGAGGTCGGGAGGTGGGGGGGAGGGGTGGGGGGTTGCAAACGGGTGGAAGCAAGACAGCAGAGGGTTCATGTTTAGAATGCGGTTGGTGAGGAGTATACATAAGGGAGCAGCTGGTTGGCCATGGAAGAAAAAGACGGATTTGTAGTGTGTGGGTGGGGAAGGTGGAGGGGAAGAAATGCGGGGGATGGTGAAGGAGGAGACCGGTAAGAGCAGCTGGTTTCTCAGGCATAAATTGGAAGAGAGAGCATAAGAATTGGTGGTAAGGAATCGGAAGAAGTGGGTAGAAGATAAGAACAGACTTGACATTTTACAGGTGAAGAATACGGGTCATACGGAGAGGGTATATGAGAGAGGAAGGGAGAGGTTAGGAGGTAATGAGCTTACTACGTGGATGGCTGTGTCTTAGTAATGCTAATAGTACTGACTCACCACTGTAGTTGGGCTCAACCCAGAGCAGGTACTTGCAGCTTGCCATGTGTGCAGCAGTCGAATTTTCTTGAAGGCCCTTGGATCTTCATGCATGGGTAGGAGAATGGCGCATGACAGGAGGCAGGGGAAGCAGAGTCAGCGTCACGAGAATTATGACCACGAGTGAAGAATGGCCTAGGTGCTGCAGATTACGGTACAGGTGCATGAATGCATGTGTGGAACATCACAGTTCACATCTGATGTTGTAAATGGTAATCAATCTCACATTTTACGGTTCGGTTGGAAAAACCAACTGACTCACGAGTCATTGAAGAATGCCGGCCAGTTGGTTATGGATGCCGTGCATGCCGCATGAAGTGTGGAATAATGCTGCAGCCGCTGCACTAGAGCCTCTGTCATGCGCGCTTTGTTGCTGTACGACTGCGATACAGTCACAAACGTCAAGGAATAGATACATGATAGAACTGCATGTCAATGGAAAGACACGCCAATAGACACAACGTGTTACCAGCTACACACGTCAATACACAGACATGTCAACAGACGCACACACACATATGCATGCATCCATTCAGTCATACTGATCGGTAGTAACGTCGTTCAGACATGCTCCAGCAACGAGCCGGAGAATCAAGATCCGCATTGACACCAGCGCCGCTTCCGTCAGCGGTAACACCAAGGGTTCCATCAGCACCGTTAATTTCGGATGTCACCGAAGCAACTTCGCCTTGATGATGACGGTAACGGTGATGGCGAGCTCTTATAGCCGCATCTGGTTCGTATAGTAATCGGCGTGCTTGTGTACTTTGATAATGCAATTTCCTAGAATAAGGAGCATCATCGAATTGATCAGGAGAACCAGCGAATGCGTCGCAAGGCCGACACTTAAGTGAAAATACAAGACAGGTAAACGTCAGAAGTCGAATAACAACCCGGCAAAGTCGCTTCAGAGGCTGGATAGAGTTGTGATGAGACATATCTTATGGAGGTAGTGAGTGGTGCGTTATTGCAAATCCGGGGGTGCATTTCGCTCGGGTGCCTGTTTGGCCTAAAGACCAGGGTCAGGGCGTATTCACTGTACGTGACACTCAAATTGCGCTTTTAAGCATCTTTCGTACAACTGAGTGGTTTGTTCACATCTCAAACAGCGAACAAATCCGTCAAGAGATCACCAGTCAGAGGAGAGCAGCTACAGATTCGGACAGTACTGAACATGAACCTTATGTTAAAAAACTACGCCCTTCGCACAGAAATCTCCTCCCTTCGCTGAACCCTTGGGTTCACATTTGGCTCCAAGAAATTTCACTGAACAGAAACGACTTCTGTCCTCTCATACCTGCCATGGCTGCCAGCGTTTGTATCGTGAATTCTACTTGGGCGACTCGCAACCACAATGTCTATAAGCTCCTCATGGCTGAAAGCGGCTTCAGAACAAAGGAATCCAATATACTGCCTGTATGCAGTCATGCTTATAACTCATGCTGAGTCGAGTCTACTGTAACCCTAATTGGTGAGCCTTCTAGCAGGACATTATTGTCAATTCCGGCGGCATGTCCATAGCGTTCATGGTTGGAAGCTTCCAAAGATCAGACAGTGAGCTCTGGCTAAAGTAAGAGTGTCATGTTTCGGTTTCCAGCATCCGCTTTCCTTGTGATGTTGACACGAACGCCATGCACAGGATATTCAAGGTCGGCCAGATGTTTAGGCATTCATACGGCTTATGCATCTGTCCAAGCTCTCAAGACAGCAACGACTTTGCTCGCCTGTATTGCCAGTAAGGCACACAGATTATCCGACAACCTTGTGGCTCTATTCACCAGCTCTAACATGCCATGGCTTCAGACACAACAAGCAAGGTGTGGTGAAGCCGCCTATCATTGAAGTCATTGACGAGAGATCTGCAGTGGAAAAGCTTTTACGGATGGTTCACGTTCTTTCAGGTGGGCTAAGGTAATTTATATTTTCCTGTTTCTAATGTCCATCAGGACTGACCATTGCCAACTTGCAGAGGCCAAGAAGCAGCAGACTGCCTCACTTCTTAACGAAGAGGTATGTCATTCGGATTTCTCTTCACAGCATTGACGCTCTCAAGGTCTAGCATGGTTTTGTTCAACTTGGGCCATGCCAATCTTACAACCTTACCCTTATTCTTGCAGAGGACCGAGTTCGTGCAGTCGTCAGAGGCCATTATCGCACCTTTGCTAACCATACCTGGCTTGGCCCCTCATGAAGCACAAATGGTATTGTACAATGAGTTCTCTATGTTGGTTACTACAGGTAGATTGATCTGTCAAATGTATACTGAAGGTTCCATATTTTGTTGCAGCTACTTTCCAGCTTTGGATCTATTGATGCTGTGGCATCTGCAAGTTCAAGCAAGATTGCTGGGGCAACAGGAATGCCTTTACATAAAGCTGAAGCAGTATCAAGTTTCTTCCGGGACATGTGACCACCATACCATACCATAGTCCTCTGGGACTTGCGGCCAAAGCCTGCGAGGCTCAGGAAGTTACGCTGCTTTCATGTCATTAATTGCCGTGGTATTCTGTATGAAAAACGAAGTTGATTACTGTAGCGGACTTTCGATAACTATAACCAGAAGCAAGTACACTGCAGCAACAATCAGGTGAGACATTGAACTAATAAGCCAAGGCCCGGCAGAAAATGTAAATGCTGGTGGTCATGTGATGGAATCAGCATACCCGTAAACCCCCGGATATAAGACCCCCTCCAGTTGTAGACCCCCGGGTCTATAATACGGGGGGGGGGGGGGTACTCTATATGAGTCGTTTTAGTTATACCCCCCTTTTTTAGCACAATCATTATAAGACCCTCCCATCCTCTGGAAGAATGTAGCATTTGTCATTTTTTTGTAATGAAATCGAAGCAATTTCGGAGAGAGAACTAAATTTCTCCCCTTCCAATGACTGCGCATGGGTATCGCGCAGTCAACGTGGTCAAATTGTGCTCTTTTCGCCACTGACAAAAGGTGATCTCAGTGGCTAGAGTGATGCCACCTGGCAAAAACTTGAGGGTGGAGACATTCGCGCCCGCATCCATATTCATTGCCGAGCTGCAAGGTGCAACTGACACAACATACACAACAAACATGAATTCGTTCTATACATTCTTAAAAAAATACCATGTATTAAGACCCGGGTCTTATATAACATGTGACATTGAGAAAGCTTGCTTTCTGTTCTTGCAAAGGCAACGGGCTTCATTACAGTTGCAGTAATACAACATTATCGTCCAACTATGAATTACACAAATATACAACTAGGGTGGGTGGGTGGGGAGTGGAACTGCAAAGTTCCGAAATGAAGTCGTGGGTGGAGGCCGAATGGCCTCCAACCCTCGTTATATACTCGGCGAATTGTAATTCGCCGTTGCTTTGCTTCGTTACAGGCCGCTGCGCTTTCACAATACGCATTTTTAGAAAGTGTTACACACTTTCAAAAAATTTCATATTGAGAAAGCTTGCTTTCTGTTCTTGCAAAGGCAACGGGCTTCATTACAGTTGGGTCTTCTGAGACATGTACAGCTGGGGCGTTGAAGACGTGGCGAGTGTACAGTAGTTGCGGTTGATGTCTTTGACGAAGTGTTGAGAGAGGCGGTGTTGGTGATCGTGATCTCTGTGTCGATGGTGTTCGGAATGCTGTGTGTGCGAAGGCTGCTTGTACCGTTGATGTGGATGTCCCTGTTTGTTGGTGCAGCAGGATAGTGGTTGAGCTCGGTGGTTCTCAAACTCTTGACGCCCAATGTACGGTATAACTTTATCTTGAGATTTGATTTCCATTTGCTCTGTTCTGGTTTACTCTACACTTCACCGTTTGACGTTCCAGACTAACTACAATGTGGATGTGTGGGTTTGGATTGGTAGTAGTGGGGGGGTGGTATCCGTCATGCTGGTGGATAGGAATAGTCTTTTTTCTTTGGCACACATGTACCGTCTTTAAAACCAGAATATAAAGAATGAACCCTGTCCCAGCTTGAAAAGGTGATGCAAGGGAGCGGGCCGATAGAGCACTGTTTCAAACAAAACGGGTAGCCGTGTGAACGAATGTGATTGGCTTTCGCCAATTTCGATTCTTCTTGTTCCCACCAAAACAGATTTCCATGTGGAGCTCCTCCGTCGCATGTCTTCGTGCTACACATCACAACTGTTGCCCATGGTGTTAAATTGTAATGTGTTATATGTTGGTAGGCTGTAGTGGAGTAGCCAATATGGGGTACAACCCCAACTAGGGTTTGCTACTTGTACCCAACTGTTTCATTCAATGCATTCATTCTTGCCTAGTTCTTCTGACATGGTATTCAGAGCAGGAGGTCCCTAGGACCTACCGACCGTTTTTTTTTTTAAGGGCCCACCACCGCTCGCATGCGGTTACCACGCTACCCCGTGCCCTAGCCTCGTAGCGCCCTCGTGCGCCCTCGTTAGCGCCCTCGTGCGCCCTCGTTAGCGCCCTCGCGCGCCCTCGTTAGCGCCCTCGTGCGCCTCTCGTTAGCGCCCTCGCGCGCCCTCGCTAGCGCCCTCGCGCGCCCTTGTTAGCGCCCTCGTGCGCCTCTCGTTAGCGCCCTCGCGCGCCCCTCGCAGCGTCGCCCGCCCGCCGAGCCGCCCGCTCGCAGCGTCGCCCGCCCGCCCGCTGCCCGCTTGCAGCGTCGCCCGCCCGCCCGCTGCCCGCTTCGCAGCGTCGCCCGCCCGCCGCGCTGCCCGCTCGCAGCGTCGCCCGCCCGCCTCGCTGCCCGCTTGCAGCGTCGCCCGCCCGCCCGCTGCCCGCTTCGCAGCCCGCCCGCCGCGCTGCCCGCTCGCAGCATCGCCAGCCCGCCCGCTGCCCGCTTGCAGCGTCGCCCGCCCGCCCGCTGCCCGCTTCGCAGCGTCGCCCGCCCGCCGCGCTGCCCGCTCGCAGCGTCGCCCGCCCGCCTCGCTGCCCGCTTGCAGCGTCGCCCGCCCGCCCGCTGCCCGCTTCGCAGCCCGCCCGCCGCGCTGCCCGCTCGCCGCGTCGCCCGCCCGCCGCACTTCCCGCCTGCAGCGCCGCCTGCCCACCGCGCTGCCCGCTTCGTAGCCCGCCCCCCGCACTGCCCGCTCGCCGCGTCGCCCGCCCGCCGCGCTTCCCGCCGAGCTACCTACCTGCAGCGCTGCGGCAGCTTCCTTTGCTCAGTCGCACTGTCGCTATGGCTTCCATCCGCGTGCTGTCGTTCGATGCTGAGGGCCGCCCTGTGAAGTTCGCCACCTGGCTGGATGACCTGCAGCTGTTCCTTCTGAGCGATAGCAAGGAGCATGTGTCGCTCTATGATTACGCGTCTGGTGCTGCACCTGCCCCTCCTGCCACAGCTGAGCTTAGTGTTCGTTCCCACTGGCAGACTCGTGACGCAGCTGCTCGCCTAGCCATTCGCAGTCACCTGCCGCTAGCTGAGCTCGAGCATTTTGGCGACTGCAAATCCGCTAAGGCCCTGTACGATGCTGTCGTTGCTCGCTACTCCTCGCCTGCCACAGCCGAGCTTAGCCGCCTCATGCTGCCGTACCTGTTCCCTGAGCTGTCCACCTTTACTACAGTCGCCGATCTTATCACCCACCTTCGCACTAGTGATGCTCGCCTTCGTGCCGCCCTTCCCACCGAGTTCTGCGCTAAGAACCCCCCTCCACTGTACTGGACACTCCACTTCATAGTCACCCGTCTCCCTGACACCCTCAGCTCAGTTCGAGACCACTTCCTTGCTCGCTGTCCCACTGAGCTCACAGTCGCCCTCCTAGAGGAGCAGCTGCTAGCGGCCGAAAAGAGCATTGTAGCTGTCGGTGCTGCTCGTGGCGCTCCTCGCACCCCCATCTTTGAGGGGTGTTCTCCCTCTCCCCTCGCTCCCTCCTACGCTACTGCTGCTGCTGTTGACTTCCTTGGTGCTGAGTCTGCTGGCGCTGCTTCTGCTCCTGGTGGGAGGCGCCGCACCGGCAAGGGCAAGGGGGCCAAGGGTGGCGGGGATGGCCCTGGGGGGGGGGGAGGTGGGGGAGGTGGGGGAGGAGGCGGTGCTGGAGGGAGCGGTGGCGGGAGTGCTGGTGGGAGTGGGGTCGGCAGCGGAGGCGGGGGCGGCGGAGGGAGCGGTGGCGGTGGCGGCGGCGGCGGCGGCGGTGGCGGTGGCGGCGGTGGCGGTCGGAGCGGTGGTAGTGGTGGCGGCGGAGGTCGGAGTGGAGGCACTGGCTCGGGCCAGAGCTCCCAGCAGCAGCAGCGTCCCCAGACGACCCAGCAGCTTCGTGAGTGGCTTGCTCAGCGTGGGACGTCGGGGGGCAGTGGCCGCTGTTCCTATGTCATTCGTACAGGTGACCGCAAGGGACAGACGTGTGGGAGGTTCCACACCCCGTACCGCTGCTTCTCCCGCCTTGACGACGCTTGGCGTGAGGAGATGGGCGAGGATGTTGAGCGCCCCCGCTGGGCTGAGCTCATGAGGGCTGGTGTTGATATCTTTGCTCTTGACTATGATGCTATTATTGCCGCCATGTATGCATTGACTGTTAGTGCCGAGGGAGACTGTTACTTGTGTGTGCCGCCTGACCCAGGTATAGAGCCCGCTGCCCTAGGTACTAGTGAGTCTGCTCTCTCTGGTATGGTGCCCCCTGTACTTGCTCCCTCCAGTGCTGTCCCGGCTGTTTGCGAGTCTGCTCTCTCAGGTACAGCACCCACAGAGACTGCTCTCTCAGGTACCGCACCGGCTGAGGCCTGTCACACCTTCACCCTTGACTCAGGTGCTTCCCGCTGTTTCTTTCGTGACAGTACTGAGCTCACACCGCTTCCTGCACCGGTCCCAGTCTCCTTGGCTGACCCCTCTGGGGGCCCAGTCCTTGCCCAGTCCACCACTGTGCTCCCTTGTCCGGCGGTTCCGTCTGGCTCGTTGTCGGGTTTCCACCTCCCCTCGTTCTCGACGAACCTGGTGAGCAACGCTGTCATCCAGGATCAGTGGGTTGACACCTTTACCCCTGGAGGACAGCGTGTGGCGATCTGCACGTGCTCCAGGACCGGCCGTCACCTGGCTACGTTTACCCGTCGGCCGGGGTCGAGTCTCTACACACTGACCACTGCGTCTCCTCAGGTCGCTGCTGTCGGTCAGGTGTCCGCGTCAGGTCTGGTGGCCCACACCTGTGAGTGTCGTTCCCTGTCGCACCAGACTCTTCTCTGGCACCACCGCCTGGGTCACCCCTCCTTGCCACGCCTCCGTGGCATGCACCGTAGCCGCCTTGTGTCTGGTCTTCCCAGGTCCCTCCCTCCCCTCCCTGCCTCGCCTGCGCCGCCCTGCCTTCCTTGCGTCGAGGGGCGGCAGCGCGCCGCTCCTCACTCCTCCTCGTTCCCCCCGACAGAGGCTCCTCTGCAGACCCTCCACCTGGACGTGTGGGGCCCAGCCCGCGTTCGTGGCCAGGGCGGTGAGCGGTACTTTTTGCTGGTTGTCGACGACTACTCGCGT